GTGAATTAGAAAATTACTCATTTTCTAAGGAATGACTTATACTTTAGAGAACAGGTTGTTCTCCAGATAACGACTGGGTTAACAGAAAATGTGTTGTCTATCAAACTACTGGAAAGCAAGAAAAGACACAATTTTCAACTCAACAGGGTATTATGGCTTCTGCTGTTTTAGAAACAACTTGGCTAAAGACTTGACTCATTCTACATCAAACAAGTTACAGTATATGTTGCTTAAAGGAATAGTACACCCAAAACATGATTAGCCTTCATTTTCTACTCACCCCCATGCTGAACAACACTCTGGAGTACTTTTTTGATATCTCAAATGCATCTGGAGATCTGGGAGGCTTCTTGCTGTCTGCTGACATTCAAATAATGGAGGTGCCCAGCGCCCGAGGCAGAAAGGTCCATAAAAGTCCACAAAAAACGTTTCAATATTCCTCCATACTGCTCGTCCAATGTATTCCAAGTGTCCTGAGTGGGTAGCATCCAGAATTTACTCGAAACGAAGTCATTTAGAATGTTTTTAGAGCATAAACAGTAGTGTATAGGATTTCCTGAAAGCGCGCGCCTGCAAGTTCACGACGCTACGGAAGCCGGCAGACCAAACCAGCGCATTCAGCTCGGCAAAGAACTCATGCTCTTCCTCAACACTGAAGTCCTCAGACATTTTTCTTTTGTTGTTTCTTTCTTTGCACAGGTAAACAGCACATCTCTTCTTCTACGCTTGCATTATTGGCAGAGCAGACGCTGAATGCGCACTTTCATCTGGTTTGGTCTGCCGGCTTCCGTAGCGTCGTGATTGTGCAGGTGCGCGCTTTCAGGAAATCCTATACACTACTGTTTATGCTCTAAAAACATTCTAAATGACTTCGTTTCGAGTAAATTCTGGATGCTACCCACTCAGGACACTTGGAATACATTGGACGAGCAGTATGGAGGAATATTGACACGTTTTTTGTGGACTTTTATGGACCTTTCTGCCTCGGGCACCATAGACCTCCAATCATTTGAATGTCAGCAGACAGCAAGAAGCCTCCCAGATCTCCAGATGCATTTGAGATATCAAAAAAGTAGTCCAGGGTGTTGTTCAGCATGGGGGTGAGTAGAAAATGAAGGCTAATCATGTTTTGGGTGTACTATTCCTTTAATGAAGAAACAAACTTGTGTCTTTTTTGTGTTTCTCTGCACACACAGTGCTTACAGTGATATTTATTAACTGTAGAAGTTAGATCCGTTTAGCAGCTTAATCTCTCTGATAAATCCGACCTTGGCTTTTTTTTTTGCCACTATATGTAATTCTTCCAAAGAGGATTAAAAGTTAGAAAAAAGTCATAATAAAAAAAAACTGTATGGTTTAACTGGACCTTGGAGCTGCCATCTGGTCGGACTCAGATTAAGCGTTTCAGTAACAAACTTTCAGTAACAAACACTCAGGTCGGGCCTGCCTCTAGAAACACCTACTCTCCACTGTTTAGCACGGTGGAGGATCAATGATGCTGTGGGTTTCTTTCATTCCCTACCTCTAGTTAGGATAAACATGAGAGTTTTGCCTGAAGAAGCACCTATCCTTCACTGCAGGATTGCAAAAGGTTTTTTATTTTTTTATTTTAGGTGTGTCCTGCAAGCTGCGGGAGATCCACAGCTTGTTGGCAGTGGTGTTGCTAAGCAACCAGCAGTAGATCAGATTTGATTTTGAAACTACGTTTACTACTATGGTGACTTGCAAAGTCCAAAGAAGCATATGCTTTTTGTATTTTGGTTGAATAGAATCTGTTTGGAAGCGGAGCAAGACCATCAAAAATGACGGGTTTCTGTCTGTCTGCTTGAGCTGGACTGACTGTCTGTTTAAAGTGGACCAAATATAGTAGAACTTTTGGTAACCAAAATGTTCAGAGACTAGAATCCATTTTGTTTTATGGTTTCCCCAGACATCAGACACAGAGCATAGTTTCATCCACAGACGCTTTAAGATGGACATTGATCAAGGATCCCAACAGGTCAGCCAGTCTTTGCTGCGATGCTGATGATTGTCCGCCGTTGAAGCAGTGCTCTTCTTCAATTAGAGCCACTTCGTTTCTGCTGAGCTCCTTTAAGAGCAGAAACAAAGACAGTTAGCTGGAAGCTGCTCTTGTTTCTGAACTGAGTCGGCTCCATTAATGAATAGGGGAAAGGCCACAGGGCTACAGCCTTTCAGCAGACCCCCCATCCCACCCCTCTCCCGAGGTCTCAGTCATCTGAGAAGGTTTTCTTCCTCTTCTAAGCCCAGCATCCCTCCCAAACCAACTAACACCGAACGATCCAGCACCCCTTCATCTGCTTTAACCTTTCTGTCTAAAAGCCTCATTGTGTGACTCTACTGTCTCTGCTTGGAAACCTGTTTAAAAAGCCAGATCTGTGTTAGAATCCCACTCAGAGTCATTAGCAGAGTGTTTTCTTTGTTTGTGGGCCTGCGGCTGGAGGCTCGGTAATGGAGTACAGGGAAAGTCGACAAAGGAAGCCATCCCTAGTGCTCTGAGCTGAGCGTTAGAACACAAGGCGAGTCGCAGCCGCTTCTGGTAACAGTGGGGCCATCAAGACTAAAAACTGTGGAGTCAGACGTAGAAATGCAGAAAGAGAGCAGGCCATGCCTGTTTTTTTTCTGCCTTTTTTGCTCAGAAGGAGATTTTCTTCCCTTTGGTCAGAGAAGCTTTTTTTTTTAAATATCGAAAAGGGATTCTATTATTTTCTATGGTTGATGACCCGTCAGCACGAGCTCCTCTCATGCCAGTCAGCTCCAGAATGAAGCAGCCATTCAGTTTTTAAAACCCTGGAGGTGTTCAGACAAGTCATGGCTGCTCGGGGAAACAAATCCCATTTGTTTCTCTGGGCCACCGGGGGCCCTTGTGTTTTCAGTGGGAAAGTGTGAGAGAGCGCCAGCTGGGCCGGTATTCACACCCAGACCCGGCACCATCAGGGTAGAGACGGCCTATAAGAATGCAGCTCAAACATGACGCCGACCTCCGTGAAGAAATGCAGAACAGAACCAAGTTCCTTACAGCATCAGGGGCAGCCTGGCTTTCTTTGGGTCTTTCTTTTAGACTTGGATGATTAATCTCCACATTTAAAACCTTTCTTTTCTTGTTTTCATTTATTGCGGTTAAAATAATCTAGGTTTGTTTTGGTTTTCCTGTTGAACTTTAATGTTTTAGCTTCAGTGTTTTTGTTTCTTCAGCTTCTGGCCTCCTGGAGCTGACAGCCCTTAAAATAAAATAGTTCATTAAATATTCATTATCTAAAATATATTGCAAAGAATGGCTTCGTATTCTCCAGCCCCAATCAGGGGGAAATTGCTGGAACCGACCCAGCTTTTGGACCTGCGTGTGGTCGGTCCCTCCCCCAGAACCTCAGTATTGAAGCCTGCTGTTCTGGACCGATTCTAAATCTGATTCAGTGGTTGTTTGGGTTCAGTACCAACATCTCCAGCTTTAGATGTCCTCATAATGATCCTGCTAAAGCTGCTTCAGATGTTTTTGTTACTTGGTGTTGGTGCTCTGAGTTTTGATGTCCAGCTGTTCTGTGAGCTTAGCTGGTCCGCTGGCCCTACTAGACTGGATTGGTCCCACTGTAGAGAAGATATGTCAATTAATTTTATCGTTGTTTGTGATGACATGTCGTTCTGAATGGGGCGAGCAGCAAATACAGAAGCTTCTGAGATTAACAACTGTTTCTGCTTGTCTTGGTGATTATCAAGACCGAACTGTTGTGACCCGTCTGCTGTGACTACTTGGTTTGTTTTATCATGTGGGTCTTTTTTTTATTAGGGGCCCTCTGCAGTGGCTCTCAGGCCAGGTTCGGGTCCGGTTGATGATGAAGTTCTGTTTAATTCAACTCAAAAATGCTTTATTGATTTCAAAGGGAATTTAAACATTGTAGTTTCTCAGTTTATTTTTAAGTTAGATGTTGTTTGCTGTATGCAGTAAGGATCTCCTGTAGTGGTCTGTATCGCAGTGGTTCTGTAGGACCCTCTGGCTGGAGATGCTCAGGCTTATCCATAATGCTCTTTATTTTATGCAGAATTCATAAAATGGTACCACCAGAGGAACAAAAAAAAACCCTCATGTGGGTTAGTGTTCATCTGGTTCAGCTTGAGTTCTAATTCTACTAGCCGGGATGCAGAACCAGGATTTGGGTTGGTTTCACATAAAAGTCATGCGGGATCGGATATCTGTGATTTAATATTGGCTATTAGAGGTTCAATCTAGTACACTTAACAAGGAAATGTTATTTCTTTCTTTTTGTTACCTTACTTAACAATGTTTATATTAAAGCTAAAGCCGTCACTCAGATGGTGGGTTGTTCATTTATTTGACGGTTGGATTGGTATCTGATATCAGACGATACATGCCACCCGGGTATTGCTATTCGGTTGGATCCAAAAAAAAAAAAAACGTACTTGGTGCATCTCTAGTAATGGATATTACCCACTATCACTAGTGTTTTTTTTTAGAGACGGCCCATCACCAGCATTGAAAACCAGTACCTGGTCTCCCATCCCTGCTTCTTCTCAACGCTGTTCCTGCTGTACTCCAGGTGGCGCTGATGAGCTCTGTGGTCAGTGTAACTGGCTGATGTAGTTTATGTCGCGACGTGTAACGTTAATCACATTCCTAAAGAAACTTCCAACAACTCGTTCCATAACGTCCTCCTGATCAACTCTGCCGTCGCAGCTGGAGGAGATCCTGGTTCCATTGGACCTCCTCAGGGCATGTATGGTCGCTGATATTTGAGCATTTCTTCTTTCTCTCTTCTTCTCCTCTCTAGATCCACAATGCTAAGACGACAATGGATCCTCCAGGTCATCTGAGACATCCAGTTATTGCTGCTGTCACTCCCAGACAGTCCGTAAGCCCCAGCGGGGCTCCATCTCCCACCCTGAACTCCACCCCTCCCCCTCATCCAGGGTCCTCCTATCTCCCCCACCCCCTGTAGAGGAGGTAAGGTGAGCCGTCCCTTGTAAATATGCCTGGATGGAGGTCTCAGGGGCGTCTTATCCTGCTGAACTCCCTGACATGTGGCCTGGAGATCTGTGTGGCAGCTGGGATCACATACGTGCCCCCACTGCTGCTGGAGGCTGGAGTGGAGGAGCGCTACATGACCATGGTCCTGGGTGAGTCACTGTGATGGACTGGAGTCTAACCTGACTCCACTTTCATTAAAATACCTTTCAAATAAAACTAGTTGGTATCTTTTAAAGCTACTAGTTCTTCTCACAATTGGTTCCCTGCAGTCAGTATTATATTAGATATACGGTAATATATACAGGTAAATTACATACTAGCAAATTCAACCATAGTAAAGTTTTATACAACAGATAAAGAGCCCAATAAATTAGATATTTTACTTAAGTAATACGTTTAATTCAAACTGATGTTATGGGAATCTCTGACTGAGGTTCAGGCCTCTTTGTCTAGTTTTAAAAGTATGTGACTTTATGTTGAGAAAGTTGCTTTAATAATCTGTCCTTTAAAGTTTTTTTGTTTTTAAACCTGATCGATCAGCAGTAAATTTACTGTTTTTAAACAAGCCATTAGCTTTAGAGCTTCTGTCTACTTAGCTGAGAGTAATAACAGGAAAATGCACTTCATCCACTCTGCTGACTGTCATTAATCCTGTGAAGCTCCTCTTCCTCAAACAAATCAGCTTGTTTCAAATCAAGAAGCTTTTATCCTTTTTTTTTTCATTCTCTGAATGGAAAGAAACCAGATAAGTTAAAACCGCAGTTTATTTGCAGGGGTCATTATTTCAATGCTTTTTTTCTTTCCTAGTCAGTTGCTCCCATGTTTGCCAGAGGCCAGCAGCACCCTATAGGATACATGTTCCTCAGTCACACTTGACCCCACTGATCATCCTTTCCAAGATGAACCATTCATTTTACTCTTCCTGGTCCCTGGATGACACATTTGATCATAATTCATCATGTTATTATTGTTACTCAATCTAAAAATTGGAAGCTATTCTTTAAACAAACACACACTGTTCCCTGGAGGCCTTTGGCTAATCTCTCAGTACTAGTGTCGGATTTACAGCTGCCATCTTTGTACTTTCTTCTGGAAGTCGTTTCACTCCTTTGTGGTTACCTTCTTCCTCGCTTGTCCTCGGTTAGAGTCGAAAATCTCGCTGTACTTTTTCTCTTTAGTGTGTAAACAGCTCGCTAACCTGTGGACTGAGGCTGTGAAGCATGTAAGTTGGCGCGTTCCAGGAAGTTGTGGGGAGAGTGTCTGAGACGGAGTCTTTAAGCTGCAGAAGGTGTGATGATGGGCCTCGACAGCTGCAGCAGGGAGTAACACGCAGGGGCAGTTAAAAGCAGGGCTGTAGTTTGTTTACCTGTTGCTCAGACTTATCTGAGGTTGTGTAAAAGTACAAACAATTAATTGTTGATCATAAATGTTTTTTATGTATGGAAAGAAAAATACCTTCTATTCTAAGATATAAGACTGTTTATAACAGTTTGAATCTACAGTGAAGGAGGGATTATTTTTTCTCTGTCTCCATGCAAGCACCCAGCACCCCATGGTGATTTCTAATTAGCCAGACCAGCCACATGTGGAGAATAAGCTGCTACCTTCAGGCTGCACGCCATCTGTAGGAACAGCGAGCGATGATGACAGAGACATCAATCCACCGTAGTAAGAGGCAACAGAGAAGACCAGTAATGCTTAACCTAAATAAAAAAAGTACCTGCAGGGAGTGTTGAACCTGTTTATGAAAACCCTTCGGTTAATCTTCCTTTTTATTATGTATGAGCTGTTTGGTTTTCACGCTCTAAAGCTTCAGTCACCCACTGTTTCCTATCTCACCATGTATCCCAGCATGCTGAAAAATCTCCCAGCATTCAGATCTACAGGCTCTGTTATGGTGGTGGACGCATACAGCGTGAACAAGCGCTGTAGGCGTTTATACTTGATGTGAACGTTGGTGTAGTATTGTCTAAAAACACAGAAGGGAGTACTTTTCCTTCCTTCTAGTCACATTTTATTTATTTTAAGAGGGAAATGTTCTTTTTGACCTTCCTATAGCAATAAAAACTTTAAAAAAATCAAAAAAATCTAAACTTCAGTTTCCATTTATACTTTTCTTTTTTCTGTTTCTCTCTTCCTTCTGTTCTTAAAGTTATTAAATATTTCTGTGAAAGGTTTTCATATTGTTTTATTCTGGCTGGTGCAGTGCGCTCACACAGCGCCGAGTTAACAAGCAGAGTTAACCCAGGCAGCACGCAAGGCAGGGATGGTCTGTTTGCTTCAATGATGTGTTCAGTGGATCAATTATAAACCTAGCTTAATGAAAATAAGAGACAAGAAAAAAAAAAAAAAAACGAAAACCCTGTTACATCTTTGAAGTTTGCTTTTTAGTTGCTCTCCTCCTGATCTCCTCCTCCTAATCTTTACTGTAATCAAGGGTGTTAAAGTCAGTGATGTTTTTGTCTGAGTGGGTTCCTTTAATGTCCAAGTCTTGTTTTGTAGTTGTGGAACACGATTAAAAGGTTTTTAATCAAGTTAATTACAGGGTCTGCAATTTATAGCATTTTATATCGAAACACCATTTATCAACAAAATAGGTTATTTAACCATTGGAAACTACTGGAAGTTCTCGTCATTTAGCCTTATTTAGGAACCCCTGATATTTTATGCAACTTATTTTAAAGACTATTTTTATAGAAGTCTGAGCAGTATATGAGTATGAATTGTCAAAGCCCTCGTCTGCGTAATTCTCAGGCTCTCCAAAGTTTCCTTGTCCAGTTTGAGCAAAAAAAAAATAGGAAAAAATAAGATTATAGTTTAATTCTTAAGTGTTTGTGTTTTATTTGAATTAGACAGTTGTGTTTACTACCAGTCTAATGCTAAAGCTAAGATATGTCAGCTACTCATCCAGTCGTCCGGATTAGAAATTTGAATACCCACAGTGGACCTGTGATGCCGCTTGTGCGCCAGATTTACGGATGTAACGGAACCAGCGAGTACAAAGGGTTCCTTTACATGTATATAAGAAAATGCTATTAAATGCGTCAACTTTTTTATTTCTAATTAATCATAATGAATGCATTGAGGTCCTGGCCCTAATGTAAAGATTAAACAACTCTCAGTCGCTGACTGATCTGATAATGAACCCTGGTAGAAAGATGGTAATTAGTTAAATCATTCAGAAGGTAGGGTAGGTCAAGTTGTTAGTTTCCCATTAAGTTATTAGCTCCCAGCATGTCGATGTGATTAAGTGACAGCATTACTGGGTCATGGCTGTGATATTGGAGCTGAAACTGTATTCAGGTGATCGTTACCATGATGAAAATTAAGGATCTGTGTTTAACATCCAATCAGAATCGATATAATTGATCTATTGAGTTGTTTTAGAACCCAGAAGAGAACCGTAGCCCAATACTAAGCTTTGTCCGTTAGTGTTTGCATCGCTGCTCGCTTTCACTTAAGTGCTGGTCATCCCAATTCTGGATGCCTCACTCTCTACTGTGATGTAACATCCCTTGTGGAGTAACTGCAGCCGTGCTGCTTGAGTTCAGGATTGGTTAACCAGAAAGAAGCTCAGCCCCTTTTGTCACACTGGGGCAGATTTCTCCTTTATTCCCCCTCCAGTGGATGATCTAATGTTAGTAGGTTTTTGAATCTTTTCCATTATTCCCCTGGTGGTCTCTGCAGGTATTGGACCGGTTCTCGGCCTCCTTTTCATCCCCCTGATTGGCTCGGCCAGCGACCAGTGCAACAGCACTTACGGGAGAAGGCGGCCGTTCATCTGGCTGCTGTCTATGGGCGTCCTTCTGGCACTCTTCATCATTCCCAACGCGGACCTTCTGGCAGCGTGGCTTCCATGGGGTGAACGCCGTCTGCAGGTGGGAAAGCTCATTATTTACCTGCAAAGTTTGACGAAACCTTTCCAGAATGAGGGTCTCTACCCTCAGTGGGTTCATGATATTAATCTGGAGCCTATCAATGAGTCGACTTTAAAGTTTAGATTTAAACTACAAAGAGATGGATGGTTTTCGCTCAACTCTGGTCATCTTGAATATTTTGAAGCTGGGCAGATGTTTATTAGTTTTAGAGGCTGACCAATGTGGATCTTCTTTGGTTCCAGGTGGGCTTCCTTATTCTTGGCGTGGGCCTGCTTGACTTCTGTGGGCAGGTGTGTTTCACCCCTCTGGAGGCTCTGCTCTCGGACCTGTACCGGGACGAGGAGGACTGCAGCCAAGCCTTCGCCATGTTCTCCTTCATGGTCAGCGTGGGAGGCTGCGTGGGCTATCTGTTACCCGCCGTGGACTGGAGTCGCAGTCTGCTCTCCGTCTACCTGGGAGGCCAGGCCGAGTGTCTGTTTTCACTCCTCATCCTCATCTTCGTCACCAGCGTGATCATCACAATGAAGGTGTCCGAGGAGCCTTTGTGTGCCAGTGGCGGCCCGAGCAGGTCGGGACCCCTGCTGGAGCCGAGCGCCGGCTCCATGGAGGTGGGCCGCTGCGGACTTCCCCGTTCCTGCTTCTACCTGCTCAGGTGCAAGCTGAGGCTGCTGAAGGCCGGGCCGCTGCTCTGCCTACTGAGAACCTGTTGGACCATGACCCCAGCCATCTTCTGGAGCTACTGCCACATCCCGCGGGTCATGAGGCAGTTGTGCATGGCCCAGCTCTGCAGCTGGATGGCTGTGATGTCTTTTATGCTTTTTTACACCGACTTTGTGGGGGAGGGCCTTTATGATGGGGTACCCAGTGCCTTACCAGGGAGCATGTCCAGGCAAAGATACGATGAAGGTAAGATTTTATCTTTATTCATCCAATTGATTCTTCTTGGATCTATACTTTATTAACCTGCTTCCTAACCAAAGGACGTGCTGTAAATGCTTTCCTATTCCCAAATCAGCAAACTCTTTTAAAGGATTTGAACACAGTGGCCTTTAGTTTTAGATCTTTGGAGATAAACTTGGATCCCTTGAGGAAAACGTATCATTTGATCTTGAGAATATTGAGTTGATAAAAGAACTTCCAACTGCCTATGTTTGTTTGCTTAGAGTAGAATAGGGAGAAAAAAAAGCTTTTTCGTCCCACTGTGGGGAAACTTCCTGAGAGCACTGAATGGAGGCGTACAGATTCACACAAGGGTAAACATAAGAATAAGAGAGTGAGCTGTGCTCCAAAAGAAATAAAAACATCAGTATATTAGCTGAAATGTGCCACTGAATTAGCCTGACGTAGTCCGACTCAATTCTAGTCAGAATATGAGTCTGATACTGCTCCATAGAGCTGTGATTATGGGGCGTGTTTCGAACGAACCAGGAAAAAAAATGCCTCTGCACTCAATTGGATAGACCTACAACCAATAAGAGCAACGGAGTGCGTGACGTATGTTAAGCGAGGCATAGTTGTTGTCCACAAAAATCAAAGCGTGCAGTTGCATGCCTAGAATAAGAAGATGAGCCTTGATCGCGTTTCTCTGTTCCTCTTTTAAAATTAATTTACTGTCGATATCTTCTAGAACAGACCTAATAGCAGAATCTACTCACCTAAACTCTCCAGCGGCAGCCATTATTGTTGTCACCCAAGCGCGCTTTGGTCACGTGGTTGATTACGTTACTCTTGATCATCTGTCCATCATCGTATAAAGCCCGCCCTGACAATTTGATTGGATCGCCTGACAGTGGGCGATAATACTCGCGCTACTATGGAGCAGAGCCAGACCGAACTTCCCCGAACTCAAACCTTGTGGGCGGGACTAAATTCGGACTGGCACCCAGGCTACCACTGAATAGGGCGATGATTAGAATATTGAAAAACATTTAAATATATATTTATGCATAAAAACTAGAACGGAAAAAAACTTTTAAAACAGCAGAGATGTAAATAATGTATTTAGTGTGTTTAAAGTAGTGATGATTCTAAAGCTTAACAGCTGCAGGGGGGAAGGATCTGTGATAACACTCCTGAATGCACATAGAAGGCTCTCAATGTCTTTCAAACCCCAGTCTTTCTCTATGAGTGCAGAAGAAATGAAGAAATATGAAAACTGAAGGAACAAATTCATATAATCATGAAGCTGGTTTGTTAGATTCCAAACTAAGTGTCCTTAGTCTAAGTCGTGAGTTTAGATGTCCCTCACTTTTTAGCATCCTCTCTGATCCTCTGTTGAATCTCACTGAACTGCTCTTCTCTGGGATTTTTTTATCTGGCCCGTATAACCTTCCCATCTCTGTTGTCCCTCTTTCTAATTTCCTACGTCTGCCTCTCTGCCGTTCTTACTGGACTCTGAGGAATGTCACATTCACAAAGAATCAGTGTGGAGGAATCTGCACACACTGAACATGTTCATTCAAGTCCAGTAGAGAGCCAGAGCAGGACCACAGTGGATGTTATTAATCCGCCGGTTCTGTCACCGTCTGGGGGAATCTACCATGTCTCCTTTACCTTTCCTCCTGAACAGCAGCTGTTGGATCCTATGATCATCTTTTTGCTGCTGATTCAGGCTCACTTCTTTATTACTGGTAGGAATTTTAAGTTCTCAGTTGGATTAATAAGATCCACTTAAGCTGTTGGCTAGTAGTTCTGCCCCGGTTCTGAACTTCTGACCCACACTATGCACAGAGAACACGTTTAGGTCCCAATTAAAGCACTTGCAGTTGGTAAATGAGATATTTTCGAACTTTTGGACCTCTCATGGAAAGTTGTTTTTTATTCATTTAGATTAAATGGGAATTTATAATTCAGTAAAAACTTAAAAGTCTTGGGTGAGCAGCTCAGCAGGGAAGAAAACTTCTATTAATCTAATTCTGCAAAGGAATTTGCGGCTCTTCCTCTGTTGTTTGGACTTCACATTCCACCTGGGTTAGCTGCTAAGACCTCGATCAGATGCCTGCTAACTGGGCCAGACGGAGGCCAGGAAGCAGATTACCACAGTAAACACGGACAGGCCCCGTCTGCTTCTGCGTCTCCAGCTTCTCCAGGATTTATTGAAGATTAACTGTCTGTTACGGTCCGAGTCACTGAACCCAGACCTAGATCTCTGGGAACCTCTTCTTAAGCGGATGTGTTTCTGAATGCGAGTAAACAAAAGTTTCTCCTCCCTGTGGGTTGAGATCGGGTGTAATATGCTCCAAGCCTGTCAGCAGACCGGGTCGGTCTGAGGACGGATATAAAAGAGCAGATGTGGGTCAGTGGGATGATGGCGTTGGGTAATTGGGGTTCCGTACTGGTCACTGTGTTCAGGGGCTTCCCTCTAAACTGCAGGAGAAATAATTCATTATTGTTTTATTGAAGTGGTTTAACTGAAAAGGATAGAAAAGCGTAAAGAGAAGCGGCTCCCTGAAACTAAAATCAGATCTAGTTTCTGGTATGTCGGGTTGGAGCCTTGACCCGGTACTAGCGCTGCTACTAACGATTATTTTTTTCAAATCGATTAATCTGTTAATTTTTTTCGATAAATCGATTAATAATTGGATAGCAAAAGGTTCCTCAAAGAAGACTTTTTAAGAAATTAAACCGGGTGAAACTGAAACGTTTTTCCTTGAAGAGTTCTGGATAGAGCACTCTGACAGAAGAAAAAGATTTGTTATCTTAAATGCAAGTTTTGCATATTTTTTTTTCAAATTTTGGTATAATTGCTGCTCAAGGTGGGTCACTCTGTCTGCTAAAGGCATGTTCTACACTCTCTACATTCCATTTAACGATTATTTAAATAATCGATTAATTACGATTAATCCAATTAATTGTTTCAGCGCTACCCACTAGCCTCTGACAGCTGTGCCTAAGAACCAAAGATTTCCTCCCAGATTCAGTTCTGGACTGGTTCTGGAGGAAAGGACTGAGCTGGTCCTGTGCTGGGGCCCAGTTCTACTTCATTTAGCATCCCACCAAAGCAAGCATATAACCAAAATATATTGTCATGGAAACGGTGGTAAAAGAGACAGACGTTTTTTAGCTCCTCTCTTTGTGTGATGGAGGACCACATGGGATGTCACTGGTCCCAGTAAGAAGTAAATTATTCCTTATTCATTTTCATACTGATTAAAGGATTTCAGAGTAAAGGTTGAATAAAAAAAAAAGCAGAATTATTTTAGCGGGCTGACTGGTACTGTAGATCAGTGCGGTCCGTTTTCCATTTAAACAGAAGAAGCTATGTCCGTTTCTGATGCAGATTTTCCTCTTGTTCAGGAATCCGAATGGGCAGTTTGGGCCTGTTCCTGCAGTGCGCTACCTCGACCTTCTTCTCCCTGGTCATGAGCCGACTGGTTCGCCGCATCGGATCACGATGGGTCTACCTGAGCAGCATGGTGAGCTTCACAGTCTCCGCTTTGGTCATCTGCCTGTCCAAAAGCGTTGTCTTGGTGACAGCCATGGCAGCGCTCACTGGCTTTGCATATGCAACGCTGCAGACTCTACCCTACACCCTCACCTGCCATTACCACAAGGAGAAGGAGGTAAAAAACATGAGAAATGCAGCATATCAGCTTAATGCACGGGAGTCCATCAACTTACTGTTTCCTTTTACCATTTCAGGTCTACATGCCTAAAGGGAAAACCAAAAGCATGCACAGCAACGGCTTAACCACAATGCAGGATTCTGTTTATTTGAGTCCTGTGGAGGAAGAGGAGGAAGTCCAAAACCACAAAGCAACTCCGTACAGACTCCCCCTTCTCAGCCAGGACAGTTATGAATACTTTCCCATCCAGCAAAGCCAGAACGGCTCGCCTCCCTGCTCCGGCGGACCCGAGCAGGATGACGCTGATCCGGGATATGAGAAGCGCGGCGTAGGCTTGGACTTTGCCATCTTGGACAGCACCTTTCTCCTTTCTCAGGTTATTCCAACCCTCTTCATGGGCTCCATCGTTCAGTTCGCTCAATCCGTCACCACCTACATCGCCTCCTCGGCCATCTTTGGAGCCATTGCCATCTACCTTGCATCTCACATCGTCTTTGACCAAAAGGACCTCAGAAGCTAAGACTTTGTTACTAAGGATGAAATCGTCAGTAATTTCTAATTCAGGTTCATTATCAATGCACTAGTTTTCCCAGAATTCCTTGTTCTAATATGGTCTCTGGCAGGTTACTTGGGAAGGGAAACGCCAACCTGTAGGCAAGGTGCGACACGCTGTGCTTTAAAAGCTTTATTTCTGTCAATTTTTTGTCCTCAGGTACCATCAGCTTGATTTACTGTAGAAGCCAATAGTAGAAGATGTCTGAGCTGAAGTCCTAGATGGTCTCACTCTGAAGAAAACAAAGACGTCCTCTCCTGCCTGTTACTATTTTACTTGGATATATTATTATAACCATTTAGTTTGGAGGTCAGGCTTTAACACTACTGATATGATACATAATTATTTACCTAAATCTTATTTTTATTACATAAAAAATTTCCATAAACTTTTTAAAAGATAATTTTAAAACAAACCTCTTAAACTTTACATGATGCATATTCATTAGTTTAATATAGCTATTTATTTGAAATACATGAATTTTACATTTGTAACATTCATGTATTTCTCTACAATGGCTGCTAATAGTGACATTAAATTATATAAGGTTTAGGCCCCGTCCACACGGAGTCAAAACGAACACGAAACGCTAATATTTTCCAGAACGTTTGTCGTAAAGATGGAGACGTAAAATAAATGTGATCGTCCACACGAATACATGAAAACGCTGCAAAATGTATGCCAGGCCTGTAAGTGGCGCTGTCGTGCCAAAGCAAAAATAGGCGACGAAATGTTGGGCATGCGCACTAATATTTATACATGTTTGCCCTGCGGGTCCATTTTCGTGGTTAAGTCAAATTCAGGTGCTGAACTATGTCGTCTATATTGCTCTGTTCTTCCTGGAGGTATTCCAGAAGAAGAAGATTCTCTTGTAAGCCCGACAGCAGGGTGAGTAGAATTAGCAGCAACCATTCAACGCAGTACGGCGCCATTGTTGTTGTGATACTGTGTCGCGCATGCGTGTTTAGAGGCGACGCTATGAGGCATGCGTGTAAAAAAAAAAAAAAAAAATGCGGTTAGAGCTTAAAGATGGAAACGCGAAAACGGCGTTTCAGAATCTTCCCACTCTGAAGGCTGAATTTAAAAAAAGATCGTTTACAGACCCCCGAAACGCCGGCTTCGTGTGGATGAGAGGCTGCTTTGGTGAAAAATTTGTGCGTTTAGGCCAGGGTTCGGCTTCGTGTGGGCCTTAGAAAAATAACTGATTAATGTTCACAACAGAATGACATTAAAACACCAAATAAAAAAAGTTTTAATTCAGTTCAGTTTATTTATATAGCGCCAATTCACAACACATGTCATCCCAAGGCACTTTACTTTTTCCCAGATCATACAGTCAGATTGATTCAAAGTTTTCTATTTAAGGAAAACCAGTGGATTGACTCGATTGCAATCCCTCACACTAAGCATGCTTGTAGCAACAGTGGAGAGGAAAAACTCCCTTTTAACCATAAGAAACCTCCAGCAGAACCAGGCTCGGTGTGAGCGGCCATCTGCCGAGGCCGACTGGGGTTCAAGGAGATGCAAAAAAATATACCACAATTTACATTTTCTTGTTTTCTTTTTCATTATGAAATGTTTCAGTATTTTCCTAATTTTAAAGCTAATATAAATAAACTAAATAAAATAAACTGTAGGATGTTTAAATGGAAACAGATTATCTGTAGGATATATTTAACAAAGATAATAATAACTGTTTTAGTTTGAGGATATAGTCAGTCAACAAAGCTTTGGATTTTAAAGGTTGCAGACCGTTAATTTAGAACTAATGAAGTTCTCAAAATGAATACTAATTATTCTATTTATTTTAAATACATAATTTATTGTTTAATTGCATAAAAATCAGAGTTACATTAAGCTAATAAAACAATAAGCTTTATGTATTTGAACTAAGTACTCATTAGTATTACACAAACTAATAAATATGCATCATGTAAGGTTTATATAATTGGTTTGTGTTAAAACTATGTAAAAAAATAAAATTAAAAAAAAAGTAAGCGGTATGTTGTTGTGTAAATCTTAAAATTTAAGTGAAATATTTTTGTGAGTGTAGCCCCTGTGTCACTGTTGCGATTCAGCCATTATGCAGAGGTTTTCTCTGCTCTCCATGATTGGTAAACAGACCTTATTTAAAAAAACAGCTGGACACAGTGAGTCTTAGGGAACGGGCCGACCCTTTTTAAATGTTACATGACATCAAACACATATTGGTACGAAATCAGAGTTTAGAGTTAAAAAGGGGAGAACAGCTAAACCGACCCTGGAATGTGTTCGCCCCCCGCCCCCCAAAACATTAGAACAGAGTTACTTTGAATACCTTCAGACTCTATTTGATCCCTATGGGAACTTTATGCAACCTGCTGAGGGGAAATATTTAACTGCGCTGCTTCTAAAGTGTCTCTTATTCAACTGGAGTAGCCGTTTTAAAGTCCTTCGAGAAACCAGCAGAACTTTTCTAGACTCGAGGACTTCTAATGCTGTTTACATTAGTATTTGCCTCCGACATGGACCACAGTCAGGGTCACAGCTTGGTCTAGTTTCCGGTGCCAATGACGCTCCGCATGTTGCTGCATATCCAAACGACAATCTAGGCCATCCAGATGGGCAGGTGGTGGTAAAACGATTAACGTAGCGTTGCATGGAAACCGTCTTCATAGCAACCGCTCTGGAGAGACGCTGCGTGTGGATGAGCCTCTCATCCCGTGTGTGTCTGTCTCCTCAGTTTTGAGGGTGAAGATCTGAAAGCTGCAGTGTGTTTTTTTTTTTTTTGGTTTAAGTATATTAAAGGCCCCGCCGTGTTCAGATTCATGCGTTGATTCAGCTCAGTGTTGGAGCCGTTCACCAGAACCAGCTCAAAATGCCAGCCTTGGACCCAGCAGGAGCTTTTCCATTCAGAATGTGTCCAATTGTCTGGCATTGTAACAAGTGCCTGCTTGTTTTTATTCTTTAACCTCTTCTGTACATATGTACTTATTTATTATGCTTTTCTCACTAAACGGTGTGTATTAAACTAAGGGACTGTGTGTTGCATCGTCTGGTGCCGGGTTGAAGGCTGTTTCTGTGAAAGATAAATTATTTGTATAGAGATGTTATAAAGCTCTAATTTATTTCCTACTGTAGCTGGAAAGACCTCAGCATCTGGCTGATCAGATGTCCATTTGAAATGAAAATGTAGAGGTTTATCTGCTCTGGTCTCACAGCAGAGGTTTTCTCCCCTTTGTTTAGTTTTTGTTTCCCTCTCCGGTTTCTTTTTGTTCTTTTTACGTTAGATCTGTAACCGAGTCGATGAAAACTTTTCTCTGAACCAAATATGTTTGATTTAAAAAAAACAAAAGTGCCAACTGTCAGACTGTGTGAAAGCCAAATATAATATTTTTGATATGAACTTTTTCCAGCTCATCTTTGGGGATGTGAGCTGTTACAGATCTGTTGGATGTGTAAACATATGCAGTTACCAAATAGATTTTATACCGAATAAAAGAACTGCATAATCACTAACTCGTCCCTGAGCAATCTGTAAAAGTTTTACACTTTGAGAAACTCATCAATTTAACTGAAAATCATTTAAAATTAGGTTGCAAGTCATCCCACAGAGAGGGAATTGTTTGATTCTTCCAGCTTAATGAAAAAAACAAACAAGTTCTGTTTCATATGAAATGTTAATCTAACATCAAAGAAGATTTTTTTGTTTTTTTTCAGCACTAATGGCTCTTTTTTGGACAGTAGGCTGATAGGAAAGGGTATGAGAGAGGGAGAGACATGTGGTAAAGGACCATAGGTCAGATCTGAACCGGGTCTGCCACGTTGAGGACTAAGACCTCCAAACATGGGTCATGTGCGCTAACCACTACCCCACCAAAGCATGCCTCATTGGGTTTGGTTTTCTCCAATTAACAATTAACGGTCCTAAATTGTTCCCAAGTCATCTGCTGGCATATACCAGGACATATTAGCGATCTCCATGCTTTCTTAAGCTGATGAGCCTGATGGAGATGCTGTTTTCCAGGTTAAATCCCTTTGGGACCTTATTTCTCAAGCTGGAAGCCAGAAGACTTAAAGGGGGTACTGAAAAACGTATCTGTGGAATTAATCCACCATGCATTTTTTTTCCAGATATGGGAAAAAATAGCATTTCTAAAATTTGATTTCTGCTGCATTTGCTTCCTGATCCATGAAGTGTGTGCTCAGGTCCAGTCGTCTGTAAGGTGGGGAAAGGCTGCCATCCTTTGGAGGCATGGAGGAAGTAGTGCGCTTCAGAGCTGCTGGTGCGACCCCACAGACGCACTGGTTTGCTGCTGGTGGTGGTGCTGGTGTTCTCCGTTACATGGAGGAGATGACAGCCTTCATAATGGCATGCTGGGAATGGAATGAGGGCCGCTTTGTTGCGGGACTGATCAGTTCCCTCCTCAGACTCCTTTAATAGCTCTGTTCTTCTAAAGAGTCAAATAATTGATGATAATTTCAAACCTTAAAGACTTTGAATCTGATTGGATCTTAGTGAAGGGGTTCTTGACCCCTGGCTCTCTGGCGCACCTGACTTAATATAGATTAAGGGGGGGGGGAACCAAAACATTTTTGCGTGGAAAAGTTCTTGATCTGCGCGGCTGAAGAAGTGGGAACCACAAGAGCCCTGTCATTGCTCTCCGGTGACAAGTGGGCCTGTTTTTACACCTTCTTTCTAAATAAGGAAGCGGCCCCTCGGACATATGACCGCCCGACCCAATTTGGGAGCAGCCCCATCACGTCCCAGGCCGCTGATCCTCACCAATAGGCTTCATCTGCTCCTGTCCAACAGGCTGCCCAACACTGACTCGGTGCTTTTCGTTATCAGCCGAGTGAAGTCACCATGATGTCATCCAGGGATGCGATCTGCTGGCCGCGGTAGAAGCAGGCTGATCGGTGACTGACAGCCCGGAGGATTGGTGGACTCTCACCGAGGCGCAGACCGAGAGAGAGAGAGGGGAAAAAAAGAGGGAGAGAGGGGCGCAGAGGAGCTGCGAAACATGGTAATCACCACCACCAACATCTCCATCACCTCTAGCTCCACCGCGCACTCTCCCGTCTCCTCTCCTCCTCCTCACCGGGGCTTGCGTTTCATGCCCAGAGCCCTGATCCGCTCACCAAAAATAACCCTCAGCCAGCATGCCGAAGGAAGCAAAACAAGAAGAGCGGTATTTTTAGGGTCATTAATTTCGACCACGTGGCCCGAAGGTAAACCGGATGGCCGCTGCGCAAAGGCACCTCGTCAGTATGTCCTGCGAGGCCGGCACGCCGCACTGGACGCTGACCGCGGCGCTTCTCCTGGCCTTTCTGCTGGGGGTCGTGTCAGCGTACCCTTTACCGAGCGGCAGGACGAACGCAACTTTGCTGGAGAAGCGATGGGAGACCCTGTTCTCCCGCTCCGTGTTGGGGATCTCCGGGGAGAAACCGGAGCAGAACTGGGAGACTGACTACCTGCTGGGCATCAAAAGAGTGCGGAGGCTCTACTGCAACGTGGGCATCGGGTTTCACCTTCAGGTCCTCCCCGACGGCAGGATAAACGGTGTACATAATGAGAACCAGTACAGTGAGTTCTACCTCCACCAATGTAATGCAGTAGACAGGCAGAGGCAGTGAGCATGGATCTGCGGTGCGCAGGATAGTCTATCCCCTCTATTCATTTGCATGACCATATCTCATCCGACTCACAGGGAGAATTGAGTTTCTTCCAGAGCAAAGACATATCTATTAAAAACAAGCATCCATCAGCACTGAACACCCCCATCCTCCTTCATCTCCCCTCTCTCTCTCTCTCTCTCTCTCTCTCTCTCTCTCTCTCTCTCTCTCTCTCTCTCTCTCTCTCTCACCCTCCTCCCCCCTTCTCTTCGAGCTCAACCATGTCATGAATGTATGGACGCTTTTAGACTCAACTTATTTTTACGCAGCCCTGTGAGGGCGCACCAGGAGCCATAGCGCCCGCCAATGCATAGCAGTGCACGTCAGATGTATTTGCTGCAATAATTGCACTAACCAGAGCGCGCTTAATTGACGCGCAAGGATGCCCATGTAAAGATGGAGCGATGGATGCGGAACAAAGGCAACGCATGCTGCGCAGCAAGGTTACACCCAAAGCGCGCAGCTCCCAGTCAGGCAGAATGAAACATTTGCAGATGATGCTTGGATGATCTCTCATTTATTTGCATTCTAACACGACCACTCTGTGTCCTGCACCAGGTCTGATAGAGATCTCCACGGTGGAGAGGGGAGTGGTGAGCCTCTATGGAGTGAAGAGTGAGTTTTTTGTCGCAATGAACAGCCGTGGGAGGTTATACGGAACGGTAGGTTTGCACACAATTTCATTTATTGCCTGTAATGTTCATTAGATCCCCCCAAAAAATCAATGCCCACTTTGCAGATCTCTGCCTACTCTTAGCTGGCTGTCATCTTCCAGGTTGGCTCTGCTGCGCCAGCCTCGCTGCCAGCTTCACATTCTGTGTTGTGAAATCCATATATTATTAATTCCATCAGGAATTTATAAAGCTCTATTTAAAGCTGGCCTTTGAGGCATGCTGGCCTATATATGGGCGAGTAATGATGAGGTTAACAGATGCAGAATTCAGACCTCAGGATGGTAATGTGGTCCTGGGTGGGAGAAGGTGGGAAACCCCCCGCCGCCTGTCAGCAGAACCCAAATTCAATTTAAAGGCCATAGTGTTTATTTCACAGGGAGCTGCACGTTGTGCATGCAGGGGTCGGCAAAAGCCCCGCAAAAGTATTCACACCTTTACACTTGATCTCATTTTGGTGACAGAACAACACAGAGGAGAAGGAAAGTCATGGTTTTCCGCCCTCGTTACTCAGATATCCCTAAAATAAAATCCAGTGCAGCCAACTGGTTTCATGGGGTCCCTAATCAGCCAAACCGCTGTGTAGCCAAGTCAGGGTCTAACTGCAGGTGTTCTGGTTCCAGACTTAGAACATCAGCAGCCTAAGTTATTAGAACAAACTCCCATAACGAACATCTCCAGAGCTAAGATTGATCCATCTGAACATGGAGAGAGGATGGGTCTACAAGGACATGGAAATCCACCAGCTGGAGGAGGAGAGCATTGATCAGAGAAGCAGCCAAGATGACCACGCTCACTCTGTAGGAGCACCAGAGATTCACAGCTCAGGTGGGACAAACTGCTGACAGGATAAATATTAGTGATGAACTCCATCATCTGGTCTTGATGGAAGAGGACTTAGAATAAATCCAGAGGACGTCTTCTGTGCGGTTAATTGCAAACCATATGGAAGACACAGAAGAAGGAGCTCTGATCAGAGGTGCCAGAAAAACAGTTTGGCTTTAAATGGAAATCCCTATGTGTGGAAAAAAGTACGGTGGCTGCATCTGCATCTTGTGGGGAGGCTTTTATTCAACAGGAACAAAGATGGAAAATGGATGAGGCTAAACTAGGATGATCCAGAAAGAAACCCTGATAGAGTCTGTAGAAGACCTGAGATTGGGATGAAGGTTCGCCTTCCAGCAGAACACTTAGACTCAAGTTTATTTGTCCCTTTGGATTACTCCTTCACATAAATTCTGGTTCCAGTAGCATATATAGAGTACAAACAGTTAGGGCAAGATGCCATTAAAGATAAGAATACAACAGACAATATACAAAGAGTGTATATAATACCAAAAAAGCATAAAAAAAAACTGTCCAGTGACGTAATGGATGGTTTAGAGCGTAGAAAATTCTTTGGTTACAATGGCCTAGTCAAAGTCCAGACACAAATCCAACTAAGAATCCCTAGAAATACTTGAAAACTGGTGTTTTAAGAAGCTCTCTATCCAATCTGGCATAGTTTGAGATGTTTAGGCTGGAGGAGACAGACCCCAGAACACCTGCAGCTAGAGGGGGTGCGATTTCTTTTTCAATAACGTTTAAAACCATGAAATATTTCCTTTTTTCTTTGTTTTCATTGCTTGGACTCAATGAAATGTAAATGTTTATGAATACTTTAGCTATGCGAACATGTCTGCAGGCTAACCCATTATACCATCATAGAGGCTTTTGTCTGTCATTTGTTTTATTTTGATAATTGGGTAGAAGAGGAATGGATGAGCTTTTATTGCATTGATATTCTGCACTTTTATGAACGTTTCTCATACATATGGAAGGCATTGATGAGGATCAATAGAAATCGTTCAGCAGGTCTAGTTTGAGCCTGTTGAGGCAGTGGAAGGACAGTAATGAATATATACACGGCCTCCGGTGGGTGAGGGGTTTATTGTGTTAAGAGGAGGCGTGCCGACACATGGCTGCTCGCTCCTTGTGGGACGCATATCTGACAGACAGAATGCAGCTGCTTATCCGGGTCTGAGTGATGAAGCGTTGGCTGGTGAGCTGATACGTGATTGAATTAGGCCACATGCTTCCTGCCAGCTCAGCACCGCAGGCTCTTAATGTTATTTTATTATGACACATCTGCAAAGATGCAGAGAGGAAACTTTAGTATAAATGTTTTGTAAAAAAAATACATTTCATGAAATATGCAAGATATTTACATTGTTTAGAAATCATCAAGAGCTGATCAGCTGTTTTAATGTAAAAGTATATTTTATGGAGAATATGAAGAAAGGGGATGTCACCTTTTCAAATTTTGGAGTATTCAGGCAAACATTTATTGCAATGTTGGATGTTTTTTGAGTTCAGTACATGTTAAGTGTCCAGTTTGAGGCGGATCTGGGCTGCAGGCAAGTCAGCATAGCAGCTACTTTAATGGGAGCTGTGTAACCCTTTGACTGGAGGTTTATTCCTGAAAAAGGTAAAAGTTTAGAAAGTTATGGTGGTTACCTGCAGCTTTTGTTCCTCAGTCCATTTGAGCACTGCTGCATGCCGACATGGAAAACACTAGATGTGCTACAGGATGTTTTCATTTATTTCCTCAATCTTTGCAGAGATTGAATTCCAGTCTGCCTGTAATGGAAGCACCTTAAGGGAACTGTGTTGGTTTCTTGTTCCCAGTTGATGGAAAAAACTTCTGAAGATTGACAAACCTTTTGTTTTTTCAGAGGATGAAATTTCTAAAATCTTTTAAATGTTTTCCTGAGCATGAGAATAAATTTATCAGGAAAGAATGAATCTGTCCACGATGATAGAAACCTTCAGCTTTCCATCCTGGCTGTTAATGGGCTACTGCTTCCTAAACATTTTATTCACCATTTAACCTCTCATATATGATCATATTTAATAGAACATCAGGTTTAAACATACATGATCAAAGCTTCTTATTCAATAACGTACACTAATTAGACATAGCATTATGACTCCTGAAGGGGGACATCAGAAGCAGTCATTAAATCTTTATCACGGCTCCTTTTTGCAGATGTTTTCATTTATTGGAGGCAGAAAACTGTCCCATCAACATTTAATAATCTACTGCAGGAACTGAAGCTGTCCACTTTGATTGCTCTGCAAGAGTTAAAACTTTTGCTATTAAAAATATAAATATATATTCAAGTTGCTCTTGTTTTTAAGTCTGAGACTGTTTTAACTACTTGTATTGTTAGTTTGTAAAATTAGAAAATTAGATTTTGGATCTCACTAAGAATATCAGTATAAATAAAAATCTAATCACAAAAAACTTGTTAATAAAGATGCAATATTTAGGTATGGATTTAAAATGTATATGTAACTTTTCTTTCACTAAACTTTAGAGAGAAGTTTTCAAAGAAAGTGCAATAAATAACAGCAATGTGGGGTCAGATAAAGATGGAATGTCTAGTTCCAATCATAGGCTGTAGTGTGTTACCGTATCAGGCTTTTGTCATTCATCAAACATTTTCTTTGCATCATTAGATTTATTTGCACTTTGACAATTTTCATTTAATCTGGTTTAGTTTTGTTGCTCCAACACGTAATCTAAAGTTAATCTGTATATATGTAGAGTGTTTTTATCAGGGACCCTAAAAGCATCTACCTTGCAGATGATACATGCAGATGATACCAAGCTAAGCTGCCATAAATCGCCACCAATTGGCTCCTGATCCCCAACAGCAGGCAGCGCAGATGGATTGTTCCGCCCAAGAACAAACTGAGAGAGACAGGTGGAGCAGGGGGCTTAAACCCAGCATCTCACTGGTTATAGGATGTCCCCTCACTGCCAGAGCCACCAAGGTGTTTTGCAAAGTTAAATCCATCAGTTTGGTGAGAAACCTTTCTGATTAAAGAAACCCAGCACATTGCATTGAATCATTGAATCTGAAACTGGTTTATCTGGTCCAGTTCTGGGGGAATTGTAGATTGTAGCTTCGTTTTCCTGTGCTAGTGTTTTTTGTAGCCGTCCTCTGCTGCTGTAGCCCATCAGCTTAAAAATTATACCTGTTTTACTTCGTTGAAATCAAATGAAGTTTAAGGTGCTATTGTCTTTCTACTCTCTACACCCAATTGACCAGTTTTTTTTCTCTAACCTCAACAATGCCTTTTCCTTTAATCATGCCTTTATAAATTCACAGTCATCTGGGTCAAGGCAACCGAACTGTCTCTGAAGTAGGTTTTTTCAACACCTACCTACGAGTCTTTGTCACCTGTCGGCTCGCACCAGAGCTTCTTAGACTTAGAGACTTAGACTTCCTTTATTGTCATTGCACAAAAAAACACAAGGTGAATCTTGACAAAGAAATGTCGAAAACTTGGCTATCAGTGTAACAGAGCTAAGACCTTATTCCTGCACAATAAATATGTTTTCTATAACTAAGAGCTAAGAGCTAGCTATATACAGGGTAAAGAAGTATATATATGCATATATATTGCACTGAGTTATTGCTAGAAGTAACATCAATAAGTTGAGTTATTGCTAAACGAAACATTACATTTAGGACAAAACTAAACTAAGGTGCGTGTATTGTCCATGTCCATGGGTGTTTGGGGGTGGGGGGGTGGAGGAGTGTTATGTGGCGTTAAACAGTCTGATGGCCAGGGGGATGAAACTGTTCAGTAGTCTGGTCGTTCTGCAGAAGATGCTGTGGAACCTTCTGCCAGACGCCAGGGGGGTAAGGAGTCCATGGTTGGGGTGGGTGGGGTCGGAGAGGATCTGGTGAGCCTGGGATAGGCAGCGCCTGTCCGCGATGTTCTTGATGCAAGGGAGCGGCGCCCCCTGTGATCTACAGGCAGTAACAGTACTGGAAACCAGTACTGTTACTGTTTGACAACAAGATCCCAGAGTACTTTCTGACTAAAACCCCTAGTTTCTGGTTAGGGGTCTTTAGGTCCTGTTGGCTGTTATTTGATGCGGTGCTACTTTCTTTGTGTTGATTGTGGCAGTATTAATAATTTTCTTGTAGGAAACTAGCAACCTCTCTGAAATTTGAAAGTCAAACTTTTAGTAAAGAAAAAAGAGTCTCAAATGTTTCCATATTTGGTGTGTCTGCTGTGTGAGTCTAGCTGTTCCACTCATCTGTTCTCTTCTGCTGTCCTTCTGTCCACCACAGAGGAATCAGCTATAGGTATGATAACAAAATGACACGGCCAGTCCATCACATGTTGGTGATCCAGCAAAATCAAAATGGACACAGCACGTATGAAGAAAAAACAGCTTGATTGAAAACTTCTGTTTATTTACATAGCACCAATTTACAACACGTGTCACTTCAAGGCTCTTTAAATAAACAATTCAGTCATATACATAAAGTTTCTTTAAGGAAAACCTGATTGTATTGAGCCATTGACTTTGTAGGTTTCACTCTAAATGGGTGAGCATGTGACAACAGCAGATATTTGCTTGCAATATGTTGGTGACTCTGCAGCAATCCCCTGCATGAGCATACATGCAGTGACAGTGGAGGTGAAAAACTCCCTTTAATAGGAAGAAACCAACAACAGAACCAGCTTCAGAGAGTGGTCTTCTTCAGAGGCTGAATGTGGGTTTGAGAAAACAGGCAGACACACAAAAGGAACTTAGAAAAACTGATCCATAATTACTCTATGTGTTAGATATGGTCACAGTTGACAGAGACTCCCCAGGTGTCTTTGTCTAGGAATGAAACAATTGGGCAAATGAGCTCTGAGCCAGTTTTCATGGCAAAATGGATTAGTGAGAGAGAACATATAGTCACAATAAAACCTTAGCTCATAGTTTTGTCTGTGGAGCTGTTGAGTATGGCATCCAAGCTGATATTTACCTCCAGGATGGCCAGATGAAGCTAGAATGGCGAGAAAGAGCAGAGAGAACATTAAGTTTGGTAATGAACAAACAAATATTGCAGAATTGGAAAATAGAGATAGAATGAAGCGATGAGAGTGGTCCTTATGTCCTCCAGCGCCCTAAGCCCATGGTGGCATAACTATGCGCAGGATAACCTGAGCCACTCTTACCTCAAATAGAAAGGTCTGCACCCGTTTTTAAAAGTAGACAGAAAAGTGCTAAAACAGCATTAAAGAAAGGAATAATAATAATCTTTTAGGGACAGGATTGCCCACAGTTTTTAAAAGCTTCTATAGAAGACTTTAGCTAAGAGAAAAACCTTTCTGCTGTGGCAGAAGCATCACCTTTATAATGTTGAGATCTGCAGAAGCTAAACTTTGTACAGCAGGGCTAGTGAATCTGCTTCAGACAGAGTCCTCAGGCTGCTGCTCTCATTTCTCAGTGAAGACTTATCATCCATATATGGTAGTATCTTCCTGTGTTAGAGGGCTGATCACAGTTTCTTAAAAAAATCATTTTAAAACCAAATATCTGCTTATTGTCCAGTATTTCTATTTTGTACCTTCAATGTTTTTAGATTTTTTTTGGCTCTTAACTCTGGTGAAATTTGTTTCCGCTCATGTTTCTAACAGTCTTCCTTCCATGTGTCTTTGTTCCCTGCAGACAGTCTTCCATGATGAGTGTAAATTCAAGGAGAGTTTGCTCCCCAACAACTACAATGCCTACGAGTCTCTGGTGTACAGAGGATTCTACATAGCCCTGAGCAAGCATGGCCGCGTGAAGAGGGGCAACAAGGCCACTACTGCCATGACTGTGACGCACTTCTTACCCCGAATATGATCAGAAGAGAAAAAAAAAAAAACTGGCAATAACAAACTTATTTGCACATGTGGAGTTATTTTTATCCCAGGTAACACAAAAACCACATAAGTACGTACAAACACGAAACCACAACATGAACTTCAAAAGAAACAAACGCGGATATATCTGATATTTATTCAACTTTTTATGTATATTTGGGAAGCTGACTTTGTTTTAGAAATTACTGAAATGCATTCTGAGCTGCTTACATAAGTTTCGTCGTCTGATGGGAAGGGAAGAGGGAGCGGTGATTTGGCCCTCTGGTTTTCCCTGGTGCTCGCTGGAACGGTCCAGGCTGCGCCCTACCAGTGGACAACGGTTTGCAAAGTGGGATGGATTACCTCAAGGAACCGTAATCAGAGGAAAAAGTAGAAATGCACATGAAGTTTCCATAAAGCCTGTTTACTTTAACATATTTAGCTGTGATCCCTAAAAAAAGACTTGAGGGGGGATTGTTCTGTTACTGTCGGGGCAACTGGAGCTCCTGCAAATTTGTTGGTGGTTTTTCCTGCTGCGTCATGAGGTGGCTGTGCCTTGAATTCCTTCTTACGGCCCCCTCACCATTTCATGTGAGAAATGTGGTGCTCAAGTCAAAAATAGGAATGATACGCAAGTCATGGCTGCCCAAGACACCACCGGGGGCTTTAGCCCAATTCCTCGAGGGTCTGAAGTTTCTCCACTTTTATTCTCCTTCTATAGTTAGATTGGTTGAGTAACTGAGACTCTATGCTGCACAGGATCCAATGGAGCCTCTTGGAAAGTTAGATTTACCCTTCCTTACATTATGTCCAAGAGAGCTTTGACAATCCAAGGTTATATTTTCAGAGCTACCGAGGCCAGCCTCAGAGTGACTGCATACTGTATGTATGGGTGCTTTTATTTGAAGTATGCATATAGAATAGTTTCAGGTCATTTGCTCTGAATTGAGAGCAAGTCATCGTAGCACAATAATACAGATGTTAGAATAGCCATTTTTAAAATACTTTATAGACTCATAACTTATCCTTATTTATTTATTTATGTTTATTATTTAAGAGTCAAAGGAAGCTATCTGACAGGTTTGATGCCACTAAAAGTAGAGACTGGTTATTCAAATGAGTGGAACTAAAGACACACCTTTGTCTGGAAAAAAAACCAGAAAAGTTCCTGGATCAGCTGCAGATGATTGTTGATCTCAGTGCTTGAAGCTATATCTGTTGTTTGATTTATAACATTTCATGCAGCATGAGGTACTTGCATTCATGAAATACTCCAACCCTTCTCTCAGATGCTGATCTTTTCTTGAAGGAGATAAAGAGGAAGAGCGGTGCTCTGATTGTTTGCGTGACCTGGCGAGGTCACGTTTAATGCTGGGGTCTGAGCGGCCATCAGACTGGCGGGCTCCTGGCTGTTTTGGTCAGACCAGACGGTGGATGCACAGCCTCTGAGAATGTTGGGCATGTGAGCCGCTTTAGAAGCGAGGTCAGAGATTTGGTGTCTGCCTCCGTGTTTTTCAGGCTGGCATTTGGTTCACGTCCACCTCGTGGCGAACTTTGACCCCGAGCTCTGCACCTGTTTCTGCTGTTTCTTAGAAAAGACGAGGCTGTGAGTTATCACTTGTGTTTTCAGTCCATTACTTTTCAGTTTAGTTGGATTTTAGTTGATTATTATAGCTGTAATTACACAGAGCTGTATTTACCCCCTACATGCTTCCATTTTTATTCTAGTCATCCATCAATGTTTCACATCAATGTTCAACTATTAATATCAGACTCAGGTAACCTGAGTTGATCGAAAAATTGGGTCTAATTTTTTAATTTTTTTTTGTATTTATTAGGAAACAAATCTATACAGATGAATCTGACCTTGGGGTTAAATTACACCCGTCTCATTAAATCATGAATTAACCGTCATTAACCACAACTTTGAAGCTGTAGAAAAAAGGACCTGTCTCACAACAGGAAGTAGACTAACAGATCTCAAAAAGTAACACATAATGTCCTGCCATAAAGAAATTTAAAAACAGATGAGAAGCAAAGACTCCTAGGTTTTAGTCTGAAAGGCTTACAGATCCATTTCTGAATCTTTAAGAAAACCATAGTTAGAACCATGATCCAAACATGGCGAACACATGAAACGGTGAAAAACCTTCACAGAAGCACCTGATCTACCAGAATTACTCCAAGAACTCACCCTGGATGTCCCAGCAGAATCCAGAGCAATCCTGCTCTGCAGGCACCAATTCCTCAGTTAAGTTTAAAGGTCATATTTAAACAATAAGAGAGAAACTGAGCAGAATTGTCCAAGACCAGAACCACTGCTGAAAATATGTTGTGCAATAAAGAGACAAAATGAATTTGTCTGGAAGGTACATCACGAGTAAAACTAAAAGGGGATCTCAGAACAAAAACGTCCTCCCTATAGTCCAACATGGTGCTGGTAGTGACATGGTCTGGGCCTTTATGCTGCTTCAAAAACTGGAAAGTGTCGGTAATTGATGGAACTATGAATTCCAACCCTTATTTTGGGTTCTGTTTTACGACAATGCTCCAAAGCAGCCACCAGGTCCTTCTGTGAATGTGTAAAAAGAAAATAAGGTGTTTAAATTGGCCTAGTCAAAGTCAGGACGTTAATGTGATTGAGACGCTGTGGCAGGGGGTAAATACTTTTTCATGACGTTCTGGCTGTTTGCGTTAGAGAGGAGAAAGGGCAGCGTGGTGAGAGGATGAGGAAAAGCAGCAGGACTCCGCCTGTCTTATTCTAGCCTGTCCTCTCCAGCGTCACTGCCATGTCGATACTGCTGGTTGTTTTTGGTAGAAGAGAGGGATGCCTGGAAGCAGTGTGTTCAGAGGACGAAGAGGAGATGGATCACTTGTAGCAGAAGGTCCAGTAAAAACTGTCGCATTGTTCCAGGAGAACGGCTGGAGAGAAGGCCTGAATCCAGTCACTCCCAGGATGTCATGTAGGTTTGATTGAATGTGAGCCTGTCAGAGATTGCTCACCTGTAGCTTCTTGTTTAGAGCCTGATTTTTCTCATTTATTTAGAGAAATTAGAATTTTCTTTTTCACTGAATGCAGTTTTCTGTGTCGGAGCTGATTTTCTTTTTCCTGACTTTCCCTAAACAAAGCTGAAAATGAAGATCTGAGGGACTGTGTTCCTGTCAGCCTCTCTGTGTTATTTCAGGCTCATCTGACTGTGCTTCAGAGAAATCATTAGCATATTAGCAGGGTGGAAACTGGAAAGAATGAGCTGATATATATATTTTTTTCCTGTCTAAAAAATCTTAAATTTGTTGTCAGATTATGGAAAGTTTAAAGGGATTTTAGTGTTTCCAACTTTTGCATGTTTTTGTGAAGCAGGGAAGTTTGTGTACCATAGCAGGACTAAGCGGTATTTCGCCGATGAGAAAACATTGCTTTTCTTCTTTAATTCCTCATGATGCATGTAGAGTTCTGAATGAGCGAGGTAAGTCTTACCCCTTGGATTAAAGATCCAGTGTCTGGACTTGTTCTGGCTTTGTAATGTGTTGGTCTGCAGGGAACGGGAGGTGAGCGGCTGGCTCTGGGATCAGATTTGGGTCGCGTGTGTCTCCCTGTAAGCCGGCAGCCTTTTTTTTTGTGTTTATCTCTCAGTTTTCTATTCCTGCACTGAGGGGAGAGTGCTTCCTCTGAGTCCCCCTCCTCTTTTTTAACATATACCTCACCTTCTGCCTTAGTTCAGATTATTGAAATGATTGTAAATTAGTTTGAAAACAGACTTCTCCAATCATTTGTTTCTGGAAAAAAATATAAGTGAGAAAAAAAACTATATTACAAATGGTTTTCCTTTTATTTTTGTACGTATGTGCTGTGCACAGCAGTCAACTGTATTCCTGAGATGACAATAAAAAACTTTTTTTTAACTTTTTGGCAATGGGTGGGTGTTTTTCCTGATGTTTCCATTTTTTTAAAGGATTTTTTTAAACCTTTGTTTAAATCACATACAACTTAGAAAACATAAGTTTAATCTGTAGCACAGGCTAGAAAAAAATAAATATAGAAAACAAGTAGAAAAACAAAATAAGTAAAGCAAAACAAAAAACACTACTAGGATATTCTTTTTCCTAGTTTATCAATGATATACAAATATATTTTAAAATCTGTTATTTTAAAGATATAAAAGGAGGGCATGTTTATTTTTCTCCAATAATATTATATAGATGATATTTTTTGAATTAAGATAAGATGGAGAAACCCAATTCTAAGATAGATGTCAGGCTTTCAAAAATAAATCAGCTTGGGGCGCCCTCTTCTGGTCAGAACCTTAAAGCTCATTATTGTGACTTAACAGAAACAGAAAATTTGCTCAGTTTTTAGTAACGAGGCTTTTCATACAAATTTGTTTTTACTTCCATGATTTGATATCACATAATTTATATGAAAAGGAGAACAAATTTTAAATAGTATTTCCATTTAAAAGAAGGATGCATATTCTGCTTTCTGATTGGCTGTCAGAATACACCTAAAATCAATGTCTCCAGGTAAGCCTAAAAAATCCACTTGTTTGATGTTTATGTTCTCTAAAGGGGGCTGCTCAGTGGACTTGCAGCAAGAAGGTTGCAGGTTCGATTCCCGGCCCGAGGTCTTTCTGCATGGGGTTTGCATGTTCCCCCTGAGCATGCCTGGGTTCTCTCTGGGTACTCCGGCGTCCTCCCACAGTCCAAAAACATGACTGTTAGGTTAATTGGCTTTTCTCCTTACGGGTGAGTGTGTGTGTGAATGGTTGTTTGTCCTGTTTGTCTCTGGACCTCTGCCGGAGGATCAGCAGAACCTGGCCTCTGTCAGGCTTCAGACACGATGTTCTGTTGAGCTCAGGATGTCCTCAGTCGTTTTAAAATTTGCCGCTGTAGAATGGACCAGTCATGGATGGTGAGTGTCTCTGAGCTGGGGCCATGCTGAGAAAGTGATGTCATAGTCAATCAGACTTCAACTTATGTAGGAGAAACAGCTGATGCAGGTCTACCTTCTCCAGACCTTATCCCCTGATAGTAATACTCGGAATTACTATCCTACTCACACAAAACATAAACTTTTTACAGTTCCTCTAAACTTCTATGATCTGTAAATTATTCATTATTAAATACATACATACATTTTTATTCCTCTGAGCAGTGACTATGGTGGTAATAAACATTATTCATTTCTTTGAAAACATTTTCTTCTGCCTTATCTGTGAACTTCAACTGAAATCAGAAATAAAACAATTATAAAAGTGTGACTGAAGGTTGTTTTTTTAAATATTTTGTTCTGTTTCAACCATATATCCAAATTTTCTATCAGTATTTTATATGCGAAACAAACATAACACTGTATGTTATTGTGAAGGGGGAGTATGGGGTAAGATACCTGTCAATAAAAATATATTTGTAGGTGTTTGAATTTGCAAATGCAGCTGCAGTAATGTAAATAACGTTAAGATTTGTATTTGTTCAACATACATCAGATGTTTTATCTGAGAGAAAAGAAGTTTAGATGTAACACAAGTTACAACCTTTTATTAATACAAGTTTGAATCATCATATTTGCTGTATTTTTTATTTTTATTTTTTGCTTTAGTGCCATTGCTTATTGCTTTAAGTACTTATAAATAGAGTTGGGCTGGATTGGAAGTGAAGGGTAAATTTAAAAGGAGCTATGGCTGCTCAGGTCCAAAGGAATCATGCGGATGCTTTATTTTCCTTGTTTGTTGCTCCTTTCTTTATGCAGTACATGAAAAGGTAGTTGAAGGTGTTTTGGCTCAAATATTTTATAATTCCTTTTAGGCTCTATTTTTAGTTCCCTCTGAAGGAAGAGATCTACAACCTTAGGAGCAGATAGATGCTCCTCCTGGACCGTATGCAGAATCTATTATATGTCTAGTGTCGTTCTTCTTTAGTTTATTTGCATCCTTTTCCTCCATTTTATCCCCAATGTACATTTAGATTTTAAGTATTTAACAGACCGACCTTTGTCTTATTGTCTAGCTGGAGAGATTATGCGGTTGATCTCTAATAGCTTTGAAACTCTACTGGTAGAAATTTTCATTTTTCTTTGTGAAACATCTTATTGATCATGTGGATAGTATAAAGGAGTTCCCATCTCCTCTGACCTCTCTTGGTCCGACAGCACCTCCCACCTGGTGAACAAGGCCCAACAATGACTCTTCTTTTTCAGGAAACTGAAAAAAACTGGACCCTTGCTCGCTTCTGCAGGAGACCAAGGACATAGCCTGGATGGTGAAGACAGAACAGGGGATTGTGGGATGCCAAACAAGATCTGGACTCTTTATGTTGCATTAAGTCAAACCCAAAACTTTCCTAAAGCATTGAAGGCAATCTGTTTCCTTTACTCAAACACTCCAGTCCTTTAATGATATGGTGGATTAATTACTACCATCAGGGCTTTATTTCAACTGCAATCAGGACTCCAAAAGTCCAAAGGACACGATCGCGGAAACAGGGGAAATCCACTGGTCTGGTGCAGTGATGGAAAGTAACGAAGTAAAATTACTTGATTACTGTACTTAAGTATTTTTTTTAGGATCTGTACTTTACTTGACTAATTTTTTAGGGGAGCACTTATAACTTTTACTCCGCTACATTTCGATGAAGCTGTTAATTACTTGTTTGTTTTGGCTTAGCATAGACTTGTAATCCGTGATTGCTTTCTTCCCTTTCTTAAAATAAAATATCAACATGCGAGATAGCAGCCATTAGGACTGAATTTGGACACCACTGTTTTAGAGATTTGCATGACTTTCCACAAATGTGCAAAACTCAGGGCAGATATTATTTAAAGTTTATAAGTTTTATCAAGCTGTGAGATGTTGCCTTGTGGCCAAGTTATTTAGCAGGATGAATTCTCAAATCAAAGGTGTAGTTTCTTTGTGATAATAGATTGAACCTTAAACCTCTATTCCATAGTGAAAGTGTGAGAAGAATCAAGACACTCCTGTTTTCTTTTTGGTTTGTTTTTAAACGAGAAATAATAATCGCTTCTAACATTAGCTGTCTCTCTTCTTTACTTAAATTCTTGTCAAACCACCCTTAACTGTGAAAGCACTTTGTGGACCAGCTGCACTATAAAATGCTTGATTGATTGATTGATTGATTGATTGATTGATTGATTGATTGATTGATTGATTGATTTTCAATAGGCCCATCAGCCAATTTTAACTGCGGTCCTACTGCAAAGAGGGATTGGAATATTTTTGGAAGTCTTTCTTTATCTTTAGTCTTTTAGAAAACCAGATTTTTTTTTTTTTTTTTTTTTTGTCTGGACTAAACTTGATTTCAGGATATTTTACAGTTTTAACTCCCTTTTCATCTAAAATGTTAAAACCTGCTGTGATGTTTACCTGCAGAACTTTGAACATTTAATAAAAGGTCTGAACAATCTGAATCTTATCAGAGTGTGTCTAGGGATTTATGAGCTGCCCCGGAAAAAAGCCAAGCTGTGTGACAATTAATGATAGGGCGTGCTCTCTTGTGAAATACAGTGGGAGCAGCGGAAGCTTGTACAGTTAATTAACAAGAAAGGTATGAATCATTATCCCTAGAAATGACTCAGCATTGTCTGATGTGGTGTCTGGACCCGCAGTAAGGATGTGATTACTGTTCTTCATGACTCTCTGAGCATTTAGCCATTTGTTCCACATCAAGCGGTCTCTTCCTCTTCTTCTGAGCTAAACTGACATGACAAACTTTGATCAGTTCAGATAAATAAAGCAGAGCCTGTAATTCTCACCTGCCTGCTTTTATTGAGCCTTAACATATAAAGATGATTAAACCAGAATCCCTCTAAGAATCTTATCTTTTTATTTACCCTTATTTTTTTTTAAATATACATTTTTTTAAAGGAAAAACCATACAGATAAATATTTGTTCACACAAAGAAAAATAGTTGGTTCTTCAGGATCGTCATCCTAAAGCGTGAAGCAGAAGAAAGCAGGTAAGCTTTGAGCCGTTTTGGTAAATGAGTTAGCCAGTTTATTGACCCTCTGTTTAAATAGACCTGTTGGACTTTCTCCTCCTCCAGAAGCTGCCCTCACCCCATCCTGAACATTTGAGCTTTTGAAGAGCGAATCATTCCCGCTGATCATGCAACCGGCTTCCCTCTCACTCATCCTGATTGCCTTACATGTTTCTGTAAGAGTGGATGGGAGGCCAAGGCTCCAGCATCTACAGCGACGTCAACACCAGACAGGAAGCTCAGACCAAGGAGCCCATGCAGGGCTGTCTGCTGGTTCAACACATTTCTACGCAGATCGGAACGGATCAGTGAGAAATGGTCTCCATAGAGACAACCTGGGTGAGTCTGCTTGTCCAAAAACTTTACTCTATGTTAGATTAGATCCCTTTCATCCGAATGTAAGGGTGTCTGAAAACCAAATCCAGACATTGGCCTGTTTAGTACAACATTTTAAGACGACCAAATGTTAAGTTTTTGCTGTAAGTTGTTTGTAAATAAAGATATGATAAAAAAAGGTACATTTTGCTCATTTTTAAGCAAATCATTAGTTTTAGGAGTTCTAACCAAATTGCAAACAGGTTTATGTTGTTCATAGAACTGCCCAGACAACAAGTAAAAGTTTAATAACAATAATAACAATACCACTACTAATAATAATATAGACAGAGATTTTTTTTTCCCCATTTCCAACAAGCAATTTATCTCCCACCAATTAAAAATTATTTTGCACCATTTTACAGTCATTCTACCAGTAACAACAGAGCCAGTCAACTTTGTGATGATCTTCGATTTGAGGAGGAAGCAGTTCTTGTGTGTAGACATAAAGGGACAGCTGTACAAGTCTGTGAGTACCCTCTATATCCATCTGAACAGAATCAGGGGGTCAGAACGGAGAGGTCTGTAAATATTTCTGTTTCTCTTCTCCATTACAGAGGCAAAAGGATAGAAGACGTTGTCCTTTCTGGCATGTTTGGCTCAATCTCGCTGAGCACCCTGACATGTTTTCCTTTGAGAGCGAGAAATGGTGGCTCAAACTGGGTGGGCGGGATCTGAGGGTGGTTCACCGGGCACCGCCAGAGGGTTCCTCAGCCCTGCTGAAGAGGTTAGTTAAGAGGCAGAGAAGGAGTGAGGAGGTGAACCCATCCGACCCTCTGAGAACAGAGTCCCATCCTGCACCTCCTGCAAAGGATGCAGAACAAAATCCAGCAGGGGCCCAGTCCAAGGAAACCATCACATCCTGCGATGACCCCCTGCAGGTCTTAAGGCCCCCTGGACACGGCAGCCCCGTAAAGACCAACATCGAAGACCGGGCAGAACATGAATAAAGCACTGGACCCATGGGTGCCGAGTGAAAAAAAAAAAAAGAAGATAAAAGTCTTTATGTCTGACATGAAATGTTTATGGGCCTGAATATTGGAAGTAGAAAATCAGAGGGACCAAAAAGCCAGAAAGAGACAAAGGGACAGTTTGGGTGAGTCTCCTGTTTGTCTGACAGAAAAGCATCAAAGATTGAGAGAAAAGAGCTTCAATCAAATGTAATCTCAGCTCTGATCTGATCACAGTGGCTTGTACAGGCCCTCTGTTTGAACAGCAGATGAGGGAGAGGTCTGGGCCCGCTGTCCTTTAACCTCTTTTGTCTGTTAAATTTTAATCCTAGATGAGGCAATGCTTATTTCACATCTTTTTAAAAAAGGCCGACCTCCGAATATCCACCCATTGATACATATATATATATATATATAAAAAAAAAAAAAAAAAAATTACATGAATGAAAGACTAAAAGAATCTGCTCTTTTCAAGCACTCATTAAAATAATCAGGTGCTGGACACCAACAGTCACAGCAATGAAAGTTATTTATTTATTGAAATGTGTGATATAGAAACTTTTATCGCCTAGTGTTTTTTTATTTATATATTACATGATGTCTTATTTCTGATACAAAATAAAAAATGCTATTTAGTGTAATATTTGTTTGTCTTTCTTTAAAAGAAAAAATGCATGAAGGTAGGATTTTAAAGAAGCTGTTAGTCCTGAAGCTGCTTTAGATCCAGAAGAACTGAATACTACTAGAAATAAACAATGCCGATTTTTTTATTTCCTGTTTCATTTGCCTCCCTGTTGTAAAAACATTTTAGCTCCATTGTACCTGAAATATTGCTGATAGAATAGTTCTCTTCATCTAAAACATTTTGCACAGACCCTGAAAACGGCAGCAATCAAACTCCTGGACTGTGATATGTTGTTTCTTATCTATAGAGTCCTGCAAAAATAAATAAATACATTTTAAAAATCACATGTGGGATACCTCAGGGCTACAAACTCGGGCAACTATTATTCAATATTCATTTTCCTTGTCCAGATCATGTTAGAATGCACATATCCCACATTATGTAACTTGATGATATTTCTATTTTTGTATCAGAAAATGACCACAGTCCCTTAGAGTTTCACTTTAGGTGGTTATATAATGCCCTGCGATGGACTGGTGACCTGTCCAGGGTGTACCCTGCCTCTCGCCCATAGACAGCTGGAGATAGGCACCAGCACCCTTCACGACCCCAACTGGGATTTAGCATGACAGAAAATGGATGGATGGATGGTCATATTATCAGTCAGTTGATGAGGAAGAATTTACATTAGTTTAACGGAGAAAAGACAGAAACCCCTAAATCCTAATGATAGACTTCAGCATTCCACTAGAATAGGGGTGTCCAAAATGCAGCCCAGGGGCCATTTCTAGACCTCTGAGGAATTTTGGTTGACCCTAGATTGCAATTCAACAATCGTTAAAATTATTCAAATATTCTAATCTTTAATGGTAACAGGTTTCCTTTAAGTTTTCTTTATTTGCAAAAAAGACATTCAGTAACTTTTACTAACAGACAGGCTTGGACTGGCTGGTTTATTAAAGCATGCAAAATAAAGTAAGGGTGCAGCTTGTCCTAGTTGCTGGAGAGACACAAAAACATCTGGAATGAAATTTTATTTTTGGATGTTTATTGCTTATTATTTAAGCAGTTTTTAGAATTGTCTAAAGAAACTGGACCACTTTACTTGTTGCGGTCAAATATTGTGTTGAAGTTGAGTGTTTAGATAGTAATTGTTCTAAACAATATTTTTTTCCCTACAAATTTAATAAAATAAAAATCAAAACTTTTTCCCCCCTGAAGACCTCAAGCTGGCATTTTGGTCTCTCGTGGTAAAATGTCACTGAAATGTACTCTAAAGGCTACAGAATATCTGTAGAACCCGGATGTGTTTCAAGACTTTTATCAAACTGTTTACAACCATAAACTCTATCAATATTTTAGCGTTTTAGTGCTTTAAAGGTGTTGCCAAAAAACATAAAAAAATTGTTTTACTCTAAGGAAACCCCAACAACTGGTGCAGGATTCCCTGTTGATTAGGTTAGATTACTGAAGAGAAGTCTTTACTCAACCAGGCAGCTTCCTTTCATCCAAAATGCTGCTGCCACGGTCCTGACCAACAGGGAAGTAAAACCACATCAGAGCCAGTTCCTCATCACTGCACGGACCTCCTGCTTGTCAAATAATACATCAAAAAGAGTTGGTGAATCAAGTATTCAGTGTTACTAGAACCAGGGAGACTGAGGCAGAGTTTAGTTTCAGCTCTGACACAAAGGTTCCTGGAAAGGTCCTGAAAACAGCAGCAGCTTATCTTAGCTTTTTATTTCTGTAATTTAATGTTTCTGTTTAAAATCATGCTTATTTTTCTGTATTTCTTGTTTTTTATGTATTTTATTAAACCTTTTTCAGCTCGTTTATATGAACGATGTTACACAAATAAAATTGAATGGCTTTACTGACAACAAAATAAGTTCAGGTTGTTGTTGCAACAAATCTGTTGTAGGTTTTTTTTAATAAGTTCAACATGTTTATTACACCTGACCGCACTCCCTGCAGGTTATACCGTCAACAAAACAGTCATTTTCAGGACAGGCTGCACAGATCACAGGAGCAACACACACACAGACACGTAACCCATTATATAACTGGCACAGGACCAACCGGTTCCAATTGGGTCCAAATGAAGTAATGCACAAACAAAATGGACTTTTAAGACACACTTTCACAGATACAGGTTTACTGAACTAACAACTAAATAAAGATTTGGTTTTTAAGAGATCTAACTCTGAAAATCTTTTCTTAAAAAATTCTTTGAAAAAAAGCTCTTTTGTTACTCGAGTTAATTCACAACAACGTCAGAGTCGCTGATTTCCAGTGGAGCAAACGCTCTGGCGCCTCTGTGTTCCTGCATCTCTTAGATGATAAATATAGAACCCAAAGCTATTTCCAGCATAGGGCCCCCGTGTTCAAAGTAATGAACAACCAGAAAGTCACAAAGTGACGATGATGAAATTCTTCTACAGCACAAACTGTGGAAATCTAAAAATAAAACATTTCCACACTGCAGCAGCCATTCAGCATGGAAGAAACCAGCCCATGAATTCTGCCTTCAGGATATTTTTTGGTGTATTTCATCAGTCTAGAGCAACTGCTCTCTGGGATTTAATAAAACAAAAATAAAAACAGTTTCTGGGATTCAATTCAAGCAGAAGATTCGTACATCTTTAAAATATATACAAAACTCCGCTGGAAAGAATATTTTTCTAATTGAAGCTGTTTCTGTCATCATTTTACATCCATGACGACAACTAAGATCATCAACATCAATTTTATTGTTAATATACAGCAGGGGACTGCAGCCTGTGGCTCCAAAAACACCAAATAAAAAAATATTTGACATATTATGGCGATAAGAAAAGGTTCTTCTGTATTTTTTTCATTGAAAATCTGCATAAAATATCTACAACAGCTCACTATCACTGGTATAAGGAAGAAAGTAATGTTTTAAAAATGTAACTTTGTGCTTTATACTTTTACGGGGGGCTAAACATCTTTGTCTTCCACATTTTTGGTGGATCACTCATCTTACCTCATTCTCCAAAATCAGTGATTATTTCTAAGGCGTTCAACATTTATGAAATCTTTATTATGGCTCTTGATAAATGTTTTTTAGCAGCAGTAGACAAAATGTTTAGTTTTTTTTTTTACTGAAAAGGCGGCAGACCCCTGAACTATGGAATGCCACTTCTTACAAAAATGCGTTTAACAGTATTTTTTTAATTTCTACATTTCAACTTTCAAGTTCTTGTTTCACTAAATGGTTAGCCTGAATTTATGCAGCACACTACAAGATATATGAACAGAATAAACACATAAAGGTGTAAAATGTTGCAGTTTTTTTCATTTCATTTCATTTCATTTCGTTTTTTTAAAATTAGTTAACATGTAAAACAGAGCAGAATACATTCTTAAAGAGTTGCTGCAAACATAATCAGGGTTGTTTTTTTGCACTGTATTGCGTATCCAATCATAGAACAAGGATGTATTTTATTCAAATTATTCAACCTGGTGTGTGAGAAAGTAAGCAACTTTAATCAATGGTTTCTCTGAAATGTCGTTGAGAAAAAAAGACGACCCTGATGGAGACGCTTATATCTTCCCAGGTTCAAAAAGCAGAGGTAGATGGACCAGGTCCTTGAGGTATGGAGGAACCCAACAATGAATGGCTTTGAAACTAATGAGGAGTGGTGTGGTTGGGGATGCGGGCAGCAGAGCTTTGGATGGTATACCACATAGAATACGACTGCAGTGCTCAATTTACGATGTGACAAAGACATAAATTGGGCTTTTAGCAGCAGAGAAGGTAAGTGATGTGCTGTTTTTGAGACAGAAGAATTACATATTTGTTTGATGTGCTTTTAATTGAAAAATCTAGAAAGAAAAGCAACAAAGGTGAGTAGGAATGCAGTGGGAGTGGTTTTATCAACACAGAGGCAAAGATTTGGATTGGATTTCATTAGCTGATTACTTTGTTAAGCTGCATCTGTGAATTGTTTGTCCAAAACTACATTTGGAAATAGTGTTGTACGTGTTTATGTTTATCAGGAAAAGGCTACAAGGAAACAGATAAACAAAATGGACCCAAACCACAGTCATTGTTTTTTATTCCCACATAAAACCAGGTTTGTTTGGATGAATTAATCAATGCTCTTTATATTTCCCTTTGGCTATTTTTGACTGATATTAGAATTGGATGATTGAGTTGTAATTTTGTTTCCCCCTGTTTTCTTTCTCCTACTGCTTAATATGGTCAGTCCTGTGAATAAAAAAACACTGCATTCCCAAAACTATAAACCTGCTGCCCTCCTTTGCAATGCTGAGTGTGAACCTGCAGATCCCAGTGTTAGGGCTCAAAGAGAACATAAGCTGCTCGTTACAACTTGGAGGTAAGCTGCAGAACATCTCCTCGACAAAGTAACGGACCGCCACACGCATGTCAGCTCCATGGGTGACAACTAAAGCATGGATAGGTATGCTCCTGACTCCATCATCAGCTTCCCCCGCAGCAGAAGGCGACTCTGGCGAGGCAGCTGCGGAGGCGGCATTCTGCCCTCCATTAGGCCAGTGTTCGGTGCCAATCTGGTATACCATTTTCTCCATGAACTTTTGGACCCGCTCCTTCACCTAAACAAAGTGCAAACAGTTAAAAACATCTCCCCTAGAGCAGAAAAACACAAAACAACTCAATCATGCAGAACAGAGGTGGGAGACTGTCTGCATAATCATCATCTCAACATGTGTTGGAAATAAACTGGGCTGGACTATAATGTATGCAGATCCTGGAAGTAAATGCAGACATGTCTGTAATAGAACACCTTTACCTCTGACGCCACAGGCTCCAACCCACACAACCTCAAACAGAACCAAAGCAAAGCTAAGAAGTGACTGTTTAATCGGGACAGTGACGTACTTTGATTCACTGATTCACAACTTGAGCTCTGAAGGCGGACAGAAAAGAATACAATCACGGCTCAAAGCACATCACCTCACCTGCTGCTGAGTCTCCCCCTCTGGAGGGGTGAAGTCTGGGAAGGACTGCCCAGCTGCCCTGGCCATTTCTTTAAAGTCCACCACCCGTCCGCCCTCAGCAATCCCAAAACTCTAGGAAATATCACTGCATTTTAAAAAAAACCTAAAGCTTTAACATATTTCAAATAAATCAATAACCAGGCAGATTTATTTACTGTGAAAACAACCTACTTTTTCTTTAAGCAAAGGGTCACACACCATTCGTAGACCCAGACAACTACGGTTTTGCTGCATGATCTTTTCAGCGGTCTGGAAGTCAAACAGAACCAGACAGTAGGAGAAACTAGTACAGAGCTTAAAATAGGGGCTTGCAAAGTAATCACTATTGGTGAGCATGTTTACAATAGTTTTCTTTAACCACAAATGTGCAGGTTTAGCTTTCAAGCATGTTGCCTTTCACAGACCACCTTCTCCTACAGCATGATAACTTCTGGATTTCTTTACGTCACTCTTCAGTAAAGAGTCAGTGAGCAGAAGAGGGTAAAACATCTATGAAGCTGAAATTAAGTAGGAGTAGCACTACCTTAACATATTTAAATTTTAAAAATAAACAAACAGCCAAAGAAACCACTAAAAGGTAAAACAAAGCAGTTGGTAAAATGGCTACTAAAGCACTGAGGAATGATCATAACAGCTGATTTAATATTTTTTTTTAAATCATTTGATTATAAAGGCAGAAATGTAAAGTGGTGTTCAAGTTCTGCTATTTTAAAACAATTCTAAAAGAAAAAGTAAAACATAATTAAAATTTTGGGTAGATTAAATATTTTTTCAATTCCTTTTTTTCAAAGATAAACCTTATGAAGCCAATATTTACAGTAGGTATTGCATATATGCCAGTAGGGAGTAAAGTACTGTCATAGAGAAAATAGATTATTGTTTACTGTCAGTAATAAAACTGCTCCCACATGTTAATGTTTTTTCCAAAAAGTTACTCAAGTAGATGTAACTATTTAGGTCAATTATCCTTCCTTGTTCTCAGCTAACAGTTGTCCTGTGAGCAGATTCCCTCTCCTGAGCTGAGCATCTCTGCAGCTCCTTCAGAGTCACCCTGGTCCTTGGCTGCCTCTCTAATCAATGCTCTCCTTTTCCAGCCTGTAGGATGAGGTAGACGTCCATGTCTTGGTAGGTCTGCAGGTGTTCCATCCTCTATTTGAGTTCAGATGATGGATTGAACGGAGCTCTGGGAGATGTATAATAATTGGTAGATGTTTTTTAGATCCTAATCCTGCTTTAATCTAAAATAGAACTTCCTCTCTGCTAGATTCCTTGGTCTTCATGATGCTGCTTGTTCTGAAATCAGCCTCCAACACCAGAACCCAAATCACTGCAGCTGTACATGTAGAGTTTATTTGGTGACCATGTAGGATGTTGTATTGAGAGGAATGAGAATAAAAGGACCGAATACAAATTTACATTATACTGTTCAAATCTATTTTTCTAAAGCACACTCAAGGTTTTGGGGGAAAATGTTTAGGAGCATAAATAAAATTTCCATCCATAGAAAGGCTTGAAATGATTTCACAACATTTCAACAGTATCTCTCATGGCTACAGATACATGCACCCTCAAACTCACCGCCTTCCATATGCTCTCATATATGGAAGCGAATCGTTACCATATTTAAAATGAAAGAGCATTTTCAGAAATTCTTTTTCATTTTAAGAATGTGGCTGCATTGTTTGGCTCATAAATGGAACTAGTAATCAATAATCCTGTTTGCATTTTCATTTTCTTCTTCAACACTGCTCATCCTTTTACTTAATTAAAATGAAAAAGAAAAAGACATTTGAGATTTATTTTTCAAAATGTACCCCAGCAAATTTATACCAAAATTCAATTTGAAATGTAAAATTTGAAAATGAAAAAGCATTTCTGGAAATGCTTTTTCATTTTAAATATGGTAACGATTTGCTTCCATACTCATAGGCCCTATGCAGAGGTTTATCTTTTTTTTGGCCCTATCAAAGTGAGATTCAGTTTTTTTGATCCTCATCTTTCCCCGGTCAGTGCAATCTACAGTTTTCTAACCGAAGGGCAGCCTCAGGCTTCAGAAAATCACAAAATGCTCACTGTGGTTCTGTGAAACAGCAGATACTTTCTAATCTCTCTTCCTAATCCATCTTCAAATTAATAATAAATATCTGAACTTTATTGATCTCACATTGGAGAAATTTACCTCTGCATTTAACCCATCCCCTTGGGGAGCAGTGGGCTGCCATTGTGGGAGCAGTGTGGGGTTAAGGGTCTTGCTCAGAGACCCAGAGTGGCAGTCTGTGGGAGTGGGGCTCGAACCACTGATCCCTGTTTATTCACTGGATTGCTGATTGGCCGAAAAAAGTGAAGCCATCATCCGCCATGCTGGTACTCCACACTCCCACGGAGACATGCAGTAAAAATGCCTACATTGTAGCATTTGGCTGCAAGCAGTCTGCTGGCTGTAGGAAGACAATTCACAGGTAATTTCACAGTCAGTGGATGTACTAACCAAGAAAATCCATATTTACATTATAGTATACTATGTAGCATAACATTAGTCTGACTATCTTGGACTGACTTGAAGATATTGACTAAATTAGCCATTGAGATTGTGTCTAACGTAAGAAAACAGAAAATAGAGTAAAAAGGAGTAATTCACTGTGAAATTTCAATGTAGTAATTTTCTGATGATGCTGTCGTTTTTGTAGCGTTTGTTGTATTTCTCATTTGAAAAAGTCATGTCCTGAAATATATTGCATGTTATATTGACAGAAAAAAAAAAAAACTAAAACATTTGACCCCTATATATCTATCGATATATATAGTTATAGTAGTTATATATAGTTATATATATAGTTATATAGTTATATATAGTTATATATAGTTATATATATAGTTGGGATCTGGAGGCTTGTCACCTTTCTCCACCAGAGGGAGCCTGAGATCTTCCTCCTGAGGGCGTGAGCTGACTTCTGCACACCTGTTTTCCATCTGCTCGTCTGGAGGCCTTCTTAGGGAGGAGGAGGATGACACTTCCATGCCAGAGTGTTTGCCAGTAATTAACCTGACATATCTGGTTATCTGTCAACTCCTGGAGAAAACTCTCGCTGCCTGGAACCTGCCTGTCTGCCCTATGCCTCAGCCTCCGCCCTCAGCCCTCAGTCTGCCGATCAGCCTCTGGACCCTCAAGGTTCCCCCCCTGCCGGTCAGAATACCCCCTGAACAGTTGCTTCCCTCCCATGACCAGCCTGACGAACCAAGACCCAGTTTCTCCCATTTCTCTGAAAACATTAATGTCAATAAACCTTTTCCCCTGTCCCTGGAGTGTTTCTGCATGTGGGTTAGAAGATTAGACCCCAACATGACATATATAGATGTTTGAGTTGCTTTTTTCCCGTCTATATATATATATATATATATATATATATATATATATATATATATACACACGTGTAAGATGTAATTACCGTAACAATGTAATAAGTACATGTATATTACATGTACATCATCAGTTTAGCACTTTTACCGCATCTGTATTATTATACTCCTATAACAGATACATTTTATTGTGATTGATCTGTATAATATGTTATATTACATGATTTATAGACTTCATAATGACTATGCAATGTGATGTGCCTAATTTTTTCTTTTTAAGTATCCCTTACGAAAAAGTAGTTTATTCAAGTATACTAAAAGTGTACTAATTTCATCCTTAAAACCACTTAGAGTTTACTTATTCTAAACTATATTTCATATACTTAACAATAGTATAGTCAAGTGTACTTGACTATACTAGTTTTTACTTGATTGTTTACTAAAGTATACTTTAGTAAATTTAAAAATGTCCCAATTTAGTTCGAAGAAGCATTACTTTAGTAATACTTCAAGTACACTAAAAGTACATTGCTCAGTATACTTTCTAAACTTATACTTAAGTATTCTTAATAGTATTTACTTCAAGTATAGTACTTTTTGCTAAGGGATAAGTTACTATGAAACAGCAAGTGTTTGTCAAAGTGATGAATTTATATTTATTTTAAAAGTCTTAAGTCCCCCTGAAAATAAGAACATCATCTTTTTTCGGTGCTGTAGCGCACATATTGTTTACATTGCAACTGGTCTAACTAGGGAGTACCAACATGGCGGCTGGTGGCTTTACTTCAACCCCGTGCTACCAACGGGCAATGAAGTGAATAAATAGAGATCAGTTTTTCGAAGTACTCAGAACCTCAGCTCTATACCCTAACCAATAGGCCGCCACTCCCCAAATAGACAATTCATTATCGCTCATGGATTTTCTGAGGTTATATTGATTCAATTATTTATTTAACGACATTAAAAAGAAAAGAGCCTCTCGTTAGAAAAGTAGTAAGTGGTATAATCCTGCCCTCTTGTGGTGAAAGTATGGTCCAACAGCATACACTACACTGATCAATAGAAGCAGTTTGACTACATGATGACACTATAAAGGTAAGCTCTGCACTGGTGGTCTTCATGTGAACTTGTACTCTTCCGGACACCTGCTGCATTACTTTAAGCGACAGTCAGGCAGGATTATAGCTGTTTCTTTTGCCACACCCTTCTGGTTCTGCGAAGCAAGAAAATCATTATTAGGCTGCAAGGACTTACTGTCGAACAAGCGTGAGTCCAAAGCGCAGCGCGTCCATTCTGTGGATAGCAGAGAGGCGCATTAGAGACACACAGTTACTGTGGCCAGACTTGGTTCAGCTGTGGGTAGAAGAGCTCATGTAGACAGGACAGATATCACATGTCAGATAAACAGGTGGACAGTCTGTCCATATCCAACATCTCTGTCGGTGACACTGTTCCCCCTTAAAGTACAGCAGAGCATGGCTGTGAACTGGATGGAAAACCCTTCATGTTTTGAAAATAAACTCTTATTTGGTGGTGTTCATTCATTTTCAATCTAGAGCAAATACTCTGCAGGACCACTTAAAGCTGCATATAACATGGAGAGGATTTAATAGAATAACCTGTTCTCCAAACAGGTGATGTTATTTCGCTCTATAATCTGCTCAGGATTAAGTGAAAGTGTTGCACAGAAGTTCCTACCAGATACCCAAAGACCCATAACATTTCCCAGAGCATCTTAATATTGATTCACAATGAAACCATGCTGCGTTAAAATGTGTCAGTCCTTTTTCATAACTTTTAAAAATCCTTTCGGATGCTTCTTACAAATAGATTTCTTGGTTAAATTATTCATTAAGGTCCTAAATGATGTTTTTAAAGTTTTTTAAAGTAAACTATAGGCATGCATGATGAAATATTGCCTTTGGCACCATGCCACTTCTGGTGATAACACCTCGTGAGCATAGCTGGACAAAGTTTTAGACCCTTTACAGAAATGATCCTGCTCTGACTCACATCAGTGCTTGCTTATTGAAGAAGGTGGGCATGTTGTTTACTGGGCAGGCACAGCACAGTCAAAGGGGGCTTCCTGGAAGGAGCAGGTCAACACTTTCCTACATAGGAGGATTATTGTGTTTGATTTTCCAGGACAGTACGGGGGCTGCTGCTCAGAGAGCAGAATTTATTGTGATTTTTCCAGACATACACGAATAAAACAAAATGAAAAACAGCCAAAATTACTTTAATCCCCATCTGACAAAGATTTGAATAATCTGGGGATTAAATGTAAAAACAAGCGAGGTTTCCTGCCAAGCCTTAATTTTTACAATGAAGTGGCAGATTTCTGGACCAACCGTCTTCCTTGGAAGTTCAGCCACTATTAGTATTAGGTTCTGGAGTCGGTTGGAGGCTTTTTTGGTGAATATCACAGCTGTCTGAATTTGGGCTGACATATACCAAAACTTCTTTTTAGGTCTGGTTAGTCATTATTTTACTATTTTTATTTATTTATTTTTAATTTATCAGGGGATCTCAGGTAGATGCGCTAAATTATTCTAATATGAAAAAAGTAAAATCTGATAGTACTAATTACTCTTGTTTAAAAACCAATAGGAATTATGCAGGTTTTTTGCTAGGACATTAGCCCTGCTCTGTGGAGCCTTATGATATGACAACTGTGCAGAACTTTTTTGTATCTGCTGACTCAGCCATTCAGACACTTAAATTCCCATCTAGACCGATGTATTGATCCAGATCCAGTCAGTGTTGAACAAAGGCGTGGGAACCAGTGAGCTGATGTGGTGTCACACCCTTTAAAGCAGACGTTTATTGAGCAAAGGTTGTGCAACAGACATCTGAGGTACATGATTTGAGTTACAACAGTGGAGGAGGGACTCCAGGGGAAATCTGCACCATTCAAACGTCCAGATATCTGAAGATTTAAGACCGAACAAGACAAGATAGGTAAGGCTGTTCCATTATTGCAGACCAAACAATACTCTGTCACATACAGAATTCATATTTATTTATGACATTCATGGTGATCATGGACATGTAAAGCAAAAACTGCACTTTGGCCATCCTGGGGAATGCATCTTCCCCTCTGTAGCACATATCAAGTCAGATGTAGCACCAACAAAAATGACAAAAATGAACATGCATGATCTATCAAAAAGTTGTGTTCCCTCCCCCTTCCCAGTATGGTTTGAGTCCAGGTAGAAACCTTGCATATTTCCTGTTTCCCATCTCTTTGAGGAAGTTGATGCCTGAATAAAAAAAAGCGTGAATCATCCGAAAAAAGATGGCATGTTTCCCCAAATAGATCCTGCTTTTCTTCCATTCCAGTATATGCGATGGATGTGTGTTTCATTTTGTCCAGTAATCCTGAGGTATACAAGATACCACTGATGCAGAATGTGACGGATACAGAACAGCAAAACAGAAAACAAAACAGGGGGAATGAAACGTACTATCTAACTGTACAAGGAACATTTCCAGTCGAACACTCATTTCACGTTCTTCCAAAACCATCTACTTTGTTTCTGGATGTATCTCTTAAGCAGTAAATAATTATATTATAATACAAATGTTTATAAAATAGCAGCACACAAGTGACATCACGACTAGGTAATGTTAATTTTTTGTATAAATGAAACAAAATCATAGCTCATAGCAGCGCAAAAAGACAATAAAATATTGACACTTTTTTTTGTTGATGTCTTCAAACCTCCTCGGACCTCTCTTCACTTTGGAATACAGTATCTCTAACTTTTAAAACCCCTTACAGTGGGTCTGATACCCCCCACAACAAAAACAGCTGTGGTGTCGACACATAACATGCAACAACGAATCTGCAGAAAAGATAAAAGAAAAAAAAAAATCACAACATAGTTGAGGAGAGAGCTTGCGTCAGACGAACAGAGGCTAACTGAAGGTGTCCCCTGCAGAAGCAGAGGGGTGGGGGTGTTCAGTTTCACTGGAACACATTGGGGTGCCACATTCTGTCTTCTGACTAATAAACACACACTCAGCAAAATCACATACAGTCATAAAAAAATAAACCAAACATCAAGTCAAAGACAGCTCTCTGTGGCTGGATCATGTCTCTGCACTGTTAGCTCCCTCAACCCCCCCCCCCCGGCATTGGATTTAAATTTAAAGCAGCGAAGCTCACAGGGGCCCGATAGGTTCACCGACTCAAGCCACACACATCAGCTGAAGGTGTTAACGTTGCAAGCATCACCGCGCTTTGACAAACATGTGCAAATACTGAATCCCAGACAACACGTGTATTTGGGCCCCATAAGGATGGGTCAGCGGGCCTGAGCTCAAAATATCAGCAAATAGATCCACATAAAGGACACATCAGGGACCCACATGGGTTCCACTTTTTGCCCACGCTGCAGGAATCAACCTGGTGCTAATGTGTAAAGGACAATCCAATCCAGACTGCATTTTAAGGGCCCTTCCTCCCCATCTGGGCAGCTAACCTAATGATGCCTGGGATCTTACAACCACCTGTCGTGTAGCTCACTGCTTCCTCGCCTGGCCCTCTGTGGCTGTGACAAGGATAAATAAAAAGAAAAATTCAAGTAAAAAAAAAAAAAAAAGAATGAATTTCTTGTCAGCGGAAAAGAGAAGCAAAGACCCCGGGTCACAACCTGGACCAAGAATCAGAACTCCGTGTGAATGTTTGAATCGATATTTATTCCCCTCAATCATCAGGAATGTTTGTTTAAATAGGAATGTCCCCTAAATGTAAAACTGTATGTTTTAAATTGAAGTTCTGTCTGATGTTTTGGAAACCAGCCCAACGAAGTAAACCAAAGGAAGGGCTAACGAGGAATAAAAGACCCATTCACCTCCAATCCCAACCCAAAAGGCTGTTTAATGTGACTCATCTGGTTCTCAAAGTGCTTTACTATAGACGTTTATAAAGGGGAGCTGGAATGAACCCCATATGGGAGCCCGCCCCCCTCCAAAAAATAGTTGATCCTTACATCTGCTTTATCATACAGTCTGAGTTACTCATCTGCTCTCCTCAAAAATAAAAACCAGAGAACATCTGTTGTTCCACCAGTGATGTAATGTTAGACATCCTTAACAACGCAATGATTCCACCTCAAATATTAAATTCGTATGAGGCTTGTTTTAACATCTCCTCCACAGCAGCATGCTCCTGCACCACCATAACCTTCTCTGTACAACCATAGTGACTTCTTCACTCTTTAGGGTATCACACCTCACTCGTCTTTTCAAGTTTTGACTCGAAACCTTTAGGACATGGATCCCCGATGCCATACATGGATTTTTACTGCTCACACAGGGAACATCACCTCACAGCAAACAGAGGAAGTATTAGCTGGATTTCACCTTGTCAATAGCAGTAAAAAAAATACCTCCCATTATCTCTGAGTCTGAGGTGAAGTGCTTATGAGACAGATATGGGACTAAACAAAGTCCCTTTGTCCATATCTCTCCTGGTGTCTCAGTCATTGTTCACCCTTTCATAATCGGTGACTTACAACGAAACATGACGCACTGTTAATGCATTAAGGCAGTGACTTAGCATAGATGCCCTGTTGTAAGGATGGACAAAGCATTTGCAGCCTTGACTCGCTCCGTCTTTTTTTTTTATTTGCACACAGAACTGTAAGTGCCTCATGCTGCAGACTGTTTATGTAGATACAGATGTACACATCCACGCACGCACGCACACCCACATACACACAGGCCTACAAAAACACAAGCAAACTGCATCCACAAACTGATTCATCCAAGCAGCTTGACCAACGGAGCTTATTGATCAACTCTCAAGTTCCAAAATATTTCTAATGGTAGTATTAATAATTACAAACTAATACCACTAATAATTATAATTCCAGCTGTTGGCTGGAGATGGGACACTCTGACCTGCTCTACAAAATCCTTTCACCGTCCACAGCAGCGGACGTTCTCTGGTAGTGGAGGTACAGGACCTCACCTTCACCAGAGGCAAATACAATGGTGATAATAATCTTTGAATATAAAAAAGAGAAAAAAAAATAACATAAGCCCCGCTGTTATTCTGTGTATGCAGCTTTTAAATTAAAGTTAATATACACAATCAAAGGCAGTATGCAAATATGATTGGCTTCCCTTCTCTGTATCCAAGGCAGCAGAGAGCTTTATCAGATTTTTTGCTTTCAGACTAGAGCATCATAGAAAATCTATTTCATGTGCAGAAATTTTTTTTTTTTCTTGTTTTTTTTTTTTTCTTGAAGAACAGATTATCTACAAAAACTAGCAAGCACTGTCCTTGTATTTCTTTTGAAGGGCTTGTGTTTTTAATGATTTTTTTCTTCTTTTGTCCTTTTTTTTCTGCTTTTATGAAGGTTTTTTTTCATGACGCTTTTTTTTTTTTTTTAAAGATTTTTGTAAATCCTGTGCAACGGTGCCCTCTGGTGCTTCACAAGTTGACATCGCGGACATCTGTCGGAGTGGAGGACTGATCCAGCTCGTCCAGGCCTTTCCCACTGGGACCTCTCTGAGTTTGCTGCTGCTGCTGCTGCTGCCGCCCTTCGCGGAGGCTACTCTCCAGAACGCGCTCGATCTGCTCCTGGCATTCCTTTAAAACGTCCTGCAATACACATTGAAACAGAACATAAGAATCAACTCAATAGAATTAAAGAAAAAACTTCTTCAGAAAAAAATTGTAAAATTCAATCAAACTCAGGAGCTATTTTACACCTGCAACACACACACATGATTCATATTTAGCTATCAATTTTCCTAAAATATAGTTTCAATTACTTTTATAAGCAGACATGTACAAAGCAACCTGAACCAAGAACCAAAACTACTGTCAGGATGGATGGATGTGAATGACATTCATTCAAACACATGATTGAGGGAAACTGTAATTTACCATGCATCTTTGCGCAAGGTAAATTAGATACTGTATGTGGTAGGTGAAAGCTGGAACTTGCTCTGCAAGATGACTATTCACAGAACCCCAAAGCAACTCCAGGCTACTGATCTTAAACGACCAGCCGCTTTTTAGCTGCTCCAGCTAATAGCAAAACAAGTGCTGACAAAGGCCAGACCTGTGCGTTACATCAGCCCACCAGGGTTGTCTACTGTGATCCATCCCCCACGGTTCTCATGAGCCTAAACACACACAGACACACTTAGACACACAAGCCCACACTTCAGCCCCCTCCATCCATCCACCTTGGTCATTCCCAAACAAAAGCAGCCTTGACAACAGCAGCTGAGAACACAGGTAGCGTTAGAGCTATGTTAATTACATCCACCTCCTGTGGGAAACACAAAAGTGGCGCTTTTTTAACGAGAGCCTGTCTATGTGCCTGTCTGCCTGCAGGGGATCCATCTGAGACCCGGCCTCCTCGGGTTTCACCATCAAAGGCCGCCGTGGCAATATGAGAATCCACCTGGGAGACGGGGCCCTCAGCAGCACTGAGGCCTCATGTCCTTATGCTGATTTTGGGTTAAGAGGGCACAGCGCTGTGCAGGGGGAGTGAGCCCTAAGCTAGGGGAGGCTGAATAGGTTTTCAATAAGTGTGTAAAGGAAAGGTCAGGAGAGTAGCAGTGATTGGCATTATTGAAGAGCTCCACCCTTTAGCAACAGTGCAAAGTGAAGTAATGTCCTGTGGGGTGTTTACATGGAGTAAACACTGCTCTCTGGTGGAGAAACACTAAACAACCTGATTGGCCGGCCTGTGCTCTCTATGCATGAACAGGCATGCATGAGCGCTCTCCTTAAAATGCCAGTCAGGGTCACGACTGGGAGAGATGGGTGAAAGCTCTTCATGAGCAGGGAAGCATTCTTCAGAAATTTACAGCTAATCTAAACCTGATGGGACACAGTTTGAGGCTGTTCTGCATCCTCTGGTTCTACCGGACCCTGATGAACTGGGAAGTCAACCCTCCCTCCTATCAGTTATGCTTGTGGGGACAAAAGGTTACAGCTTCAAAGGGCAGACGTCATCAAACCTTGAAGGGGCAAATGGAATTCAAAGAGAGATTTCAAATGAATGATTAGGCACTGCAAAGTAGGTGGTGCGGGATGGGGTTTATAATTTGAAACATCCTTTTATGTGATGATGTCACTGAATAAAACTTGATATTAGATCCATTTCAAACCACCGCTGTGTAGCTTGGTTAAGTTTTGGTCAGACAAATTTATCCCAACAGAAGGAGAGCATGGAGGAAACCCCCCCAAAAAAAAAACATTGGAAGACTAAATCTGTCGAGGATTTTCACTGCTAATAAGAGGAGTGCACTCTCAATCCTGTTCCAAAAATTCCCACAAACATGAGCCACATTGGTCATAAAATCAGAAATTTAAGAGCAGTGCAGAACATGCAAAGGAACTGCCTGTGTCTTACCACAGGAATGCATGCCTTCACTTCTTTAAAGCCATTCTCCCTCTGTATTTGCAGCTCTAAAAGCAGCATTTGGATCCCAAGCCAAGCCCCATGGTCTTCATTGGAGGACCTTTAATGATTTCACTGTGTAACTACTGGAAACATCAGCCCTATTTCAGGGGGAACCCAAGGTACCAAACAATGCATTGCCTGGAACCGGAAACAATGTGACCCACTCTTCCCTTGCAGTTAAAGCCTTGATGGGCCCCAGCTCAAACATACATCATTCTGCATCAATGTGCCATAATAACGAATCACAGCGAGCACATAATCCCTGGGCGGCTTTTGTGACACTGGCAGCAGGGGGAAGTCGTGCAGACAGACAAAACCAAAAGGAAGAAATGTGTGAAGCCGAGGAATGTGTTTTAACTGCTGCCTGCACCACAAAAGACAGTGTTAGGAACTCTGGTCAGACAGCTGAGACAAACAGCCAGAGGCAGACATAGAGCTCAAAGAGTCACAAAACAAGATATCCAAGGGGCGACACTGGGAAAGCAGAGACACCACATGACTGAGAGTTTCCACAAGTTCCATAAGAAAGTGTGACCTTTCCCTCTCTTTGGCCTGCATAGCAAACCATCAAAAGTAGCAAGGCCACAGGGATGATATTCCAAAATAATGCATGCCTGTTTCAGGCTCCAGAGTATTACTGGTAATGACAACCTCCCCAGGATGTAGGGAGAAAAAGGAAATGTGTTTCCAGTGTCTCAGCATGTGACCCTGAATGAAGAAAAGACATGAATGAGAGACTGAAAGAAAATGGGTGTCAAAACAATAAAAAAAAACTGGGAAGTGGTCTAAAACCTTTTCACTTCTCTAACCTTTACATCCGGTATGAATCAATCAGGAACAAACTGAAACTCCAGACTCCACTCTGCAAGCTCTCTCAGAGTAAACTCCAGAGAATATGCAAACGTAAATGTTCTCACTTCCCAAAGATTATAAAGCTTAAACCATTAATTTGTGAAGGCCTCAACATTGGGCCCAAACATTATAAGGCCCCAATGTTTTCAGGACCATGTCTTAGGCCCCAGTGTTGTTAAGACCCAGCTTTCTTAGGCCCCCAAGCGGCTTAGGTTCAAACATTGTTAGGACCCAACAATCTCAGGCACCAATGTTCTTTAGAACCATTGTTCTTACGCAAGGACGCTGTAATGCCCTTCCACACTCCTTTTGTCCTTTCGTGGTCTCCTTACTGCCTGAGGCCCAACCTTAACCCCAACTCCTTTCCTCAGCACCACCCTTAAACACCGGTGACAAAGCGAAGGTGTTGATTGTATTTTACACAAGCATGAAGCAGAATGGAACGTTTACATTTTCCTTTGCCCAACTGGACATGTAGTGCAGATGTAATGATGTACCCCCTCCCCCCAACCCCACTAGGACTGTGTATATGTTAGAAACAAGATGGATTCCTCTAGCGACCCTGGACCTTGACTTGGCCCTATCGTATTTCCACTGGAAAACCACAGCTTCTGGATACCAAAGATGCCAGGGAGGGTGGCATTGGCGGAGACACTTGTTGGCAGCAGCAGCTGCAAGAGTTGGCAAACTAGCCTTGCCTTAATATTTAGCCTGGCTGAGAGGCTGCCCTACAACTAAGACACCCAGCAAAGTACACATGATATAGGCTGCAGTTGGGCTGACCTCTGAGTCTTGGATCTACATATAAAGCTGAGCTTCTTTTCTTAAATAGAAACAATCGCTGTTGTATGAGTTAGAAAAACTACTATAAATGACTAATTATTGAGGATTTATACATTTAAAAAAAACTTAGGCTAAGTAAAGAAAGTAAAAGAGATTACATGTAAATCAACAGACATTTTTTTTTTGCCAGCTACTTATATACTCTGAAATAGAGAGATGCTCTCTGTTCTGCCGCCTGTGTTTACTGTGAGTCATAGCTTGTCTGAATCCAGAAATGTATGGAGTTGATCACAGATGCACCGCGACTTCATTCCCCTGCAACCTAAACACACTGAGGCCCTGTGCTGCCGAGGCCAGAAATTTGTTTTTTCTCCACTGCTATGTGAGACTTCACACAGCTCCAGCCGGAGAGAGACATGTTTTCCAGCCATGATGCATCATGATCCATTGGAAGAAACAATACAAAGCAGATTCTTGTACAGGACTCATGATGCACCCTCAGAGTCCTTTTCACGCTTTAACAGCTTGTTTCCTACCTCCTCTTCCTCGTGTTTCTTCTCTGTTTAGTATGCGATTACCATTCCCCACTGATGGTTTTGGTTGGTGTTGTGCCTCCTGACCTGATCCCTGCATGAACATTAACTGAAATTTTTGGCTTAAGTCTGCTGGTCCCAACCAAAAATCACCATCCTCCTGCCAAGCCGATGGCTTCAGAGCTGGAGCTGGTCCCTGTGGCTGCCTGCTGCTCCTGTATATTTTACATGGGTCAAATTCTGATGGCCAATTTCCCAGAAGAGACAAATAAAGAACTCCACTTATGATCTTCCAGCCTTTCACAGCTGTGTCCACCTATTCAGGCTAGGTGTTAGCTAAGCACTCAGCATGATTTCTGTGTGGATTTGGACTCAACTGAGCAGTTTCTGCAACATTCAGTCCAATAACAGGTTGGCCTGCCATCCTGTCAGTGACAGAGCACTATTTAAACCTGCTTTGATTAACAGCTGCACTAAAGGGACGAGGGGAAAAGATTAATACTGAGACAGTTCTGGTTTTACCTTGTTTGCTCCATGTTGTCTTTTTGTAACAATGAAGAAAAACTGTTAACCAAGAGGCTGAATGTCCAGATGTGAACAGTCCAGTTGAAATCAGATTAACAAACATTCAGTCTGGCTGAAAGGGATAAGCTAGCCTGGCAATAAAGCATTGAATAATAGTATTTCTAGCAGGGATGGTCAATCCAAAAGAAGAGAAAGTTCCAAGTCGCAGCAGCAGCTTACTGTAAAAGTTACCCCAGTACATCTAAATGATGTCTGAGATCTAAACTTGAACTAACTGCATCCAGATATTACTCAGAAAAAAAAACCCTTAAAATTCCCAAAGGTCAAGTTTGTTTTTGATGAACTCACTGAGATAAAGCTTGTCAAATTAAATCTGTACTAAGCGCTGCTCAAAACCAAAAGAGACCAGAACTGCATCCTATATGTAACAGAGAGAGCTGACGGGAAACTCACCACTTCTGTGTGGGTGATTTTGGCCAGCAGGTCTGTCAGGGCTGTCTCCCCACTGTGAGTGGTCAGCTGAATCCAGCTGCAGGCCACAGATCGCAGCCCCCACGCTTCCTGTGGCAATCATGGAGGGAGGGTACATGGCGAATCGGAAATCTGCAACAAAATTAGTTTGATTGGATTTCAGTTTGGAGAATGGGACAAAGAAACAGGAGGAAAGGACCCACAGTAGCATTGCATGAGTATATTTCATATATTGTTTCAAGGTTGCAACAATGACGAATACAACAGTAAAAACAAGGGCCAAAAAAACGCAGAGGGTCGACAAGGGTCGCATATTTGTGATGCCATGTTGAACCATCTCTAAATTATATTTTAAAAAATTGTTTCCTTCGGGATTTAATGACAGCTTATCTTTGAAACCACCGTTGGTTTGTAACCGATTAATATGCAATGTATATTTGTTTCTTTTTCAAAGCTGTACCCTGTTAACATAAACAACACAGATCTAGTGCATCCCACCATTAAGCAACATGATGTGGAAATTTAACAGTCAGCTAATAAATGCTCCGTCTAGTGCGTCTCTAATGACCAGGGCCTGGATAATGAGGGTTCACTTGTCTTGTAAAGGAGCTGAGAAGTAACCACCCTCACCCGCTCCCCAGTCCAGTCCCCCTTTTCCCCAGCCCGGCCCCTTTTCTTCCATCTCCTGAGTAAACCGTGTGCTCACTGAAAAAAGACCCATTGGGTTTGGAAAAGAAGGAATAAAGAGGCTCAGTGCTTTTGCCAACGCGCACTGCTGTAGGTCCTTTTTCCACGTGTGGTCACAGGCGTGCGTCTCAAAGACCAATAACCTTGTTAGCTCCCCTCACTGTCATTCATAATGCAAATGAGACAGCTTGTGAACGGGCCAGAAGCCCGAAAAGGCAAGAAACTGGCATACAGTGAGGGGCAAGGGGGGAGCGGGGGGAGACAGACAGAGAGACTTCTCCATTCTCTTCTTATGTCTTGCTCAACTTCTACCTTTCTTTATGGATAACACATGGCCTGCTAAGAAAGAGTCAGTGAATGGCACACATGGCCCGCTCTTTGCTGCGACACCAGGCAGCGGATTGCGTTGGCGGCCATCCTATCTGTTAGCATATTAATAGAGTGCTGGGCCTGTGAGAGGGAAGGCAGAAGAGTGTGACTCCATTGTCCAGAGTCATCACCTCATTTCACCCAATTGAGAGACACAGCATCCTTCCCCTATGCACCGATACCCGGAGTTCAGCGAGAAGCACCGGACAAAGACAGCGGCTGGCTATGGGGAGACAGAGGGAGGGAGGGCAACAATGAGGAGGGAGACGAAGACCAGCCGGATGGACAGTGTGGCGACAAGGCGAGGAAGAGAACAGGGAAAAGGTGAAGGGCAAAGGGACAGGCTAGGCGGGGTAGACATCTCTGCTGCACTCACCCCCCCCAGTCTGTGTCCAGACCTTTGTGAGGTTTTGGAAGAAGAAAAGAGTGGCCCTCTAGCGACCCTGCCCCCTCTCTCTGTTCCTGGGCCACCTATGGATGAGAGGAGTGGGCAGCGGGGGCCTGGAAGCAGCCTCCTCATTACCATATTGCCATATTCAGTTGCAAAGCAAACCGCGTGCGACGCCTCTCAAGGAGATTTTTCTTCCTTCACTTTTTTTAGATGAGGAATCAAAGAGGTCGGCCCTTTGATAGCTGCAAAGGCAGACCCCTCTCTGCCTTTTTAACATGCAGAGCCAGGCGCTTTCTCATCTTGTGGGCTCAGTGTTGACAAATAAATGAACTTATTATACAGCCTGTGTTAGCTGCCGGGTCTTTGCCAGGGGCCGATTTATTAAAGGACCCCTCCAGCCAAGACGACGTTGCACAAAGAGCCCCTAGCATTACATCATTGCCCTAAAAACAGCTTTCTACAGAGGGGTAAGAGTACAAAGGAATACATGGATTTACTGTAAGTCCGCAGAGAGGACAGACTGAAAGGCAAGGCGACAGACACCTGCAGACACATGCATGGAACAATGCCTGCAGTCTAACACACACACACAGACACACACAGAGCACAGATGTAGTTTTGTGTGTCACCGAATGGCAGGCAGTGGGCAACAAGCTGATTTTTCACACTCCAGACAAGACAGGTCTGTAGCAGAACAAGGACGAGCGCGTGCAGCCGACGCGGGCTGACACTCTGGCCTGGTGGCTCCTGCATGTGGGGGGAAGAATGGCTGTATTTTAGGAGGCCCTCATTGATATTCATGTCGAGGATAAACAGTGTAGGTAGCTGAGTGGGGACGCCTGCGATGGAAAGCTCCCTGTGAGCAGCGGCTGGCTGGCATGGCCAGAGCGCCTCTCACCCGCTTCAATGGTCTTTTCTCCTGCCTTTGCCCCCTCGCCTTCATTCCTCCATGTTCCTACCCCATGAAATTTCATCCCAAGCCCTTCAGTCACACAGCCCACTGCCCTACATGGAACCCTCCTTCTGGGTGTGCGCTTTAAAAATGTAAATTAAAGTCAGAAAGTTGAACAACAGCCAAGAGAAGACAAAAAAAAGAAAAAAACTAACTTGCTCCTCTTTATCATAGATGTAAATCAGGGTCTTGTTTTCTAGGTAACATGTACTGAACATGCTTCCTATAGAAGCAGCATGACGCATTGGCTAATCAAGGTTCATAACAAAGAGATTTTGGGGAACGGCGTGACATTTTGTTTTACCACTAACGCAACACAGGCTGGTAGCATCTATTGCCACAGATTGAATCACACAGACGCCATCAAACCTTAAAACTGGACTCCCAAGTAGAACATACTAGAAGATGACAGCTTGGTTCTAGGAACTCTCAGATTCTACTGCATGAGCAGCATGTAGAAACTCTGGAGAGAAAGAAGAACCTCTGAAGCATATGAGTCATTTAGACTCTGGACAGAAAACAGAATTCCTTCTTAATTGCAGCATCCTGAAAACAGCTGTCTTCATTTTTTCACCATCAGTCTCTGCTGCTTCTACCCTGCGTGCAGATCTGGACGTAGAACTCGCATTTCAATCTACATTGTTCAGTAAGTTTTAAATAAATCACACTCTAGTCCTAATCAATAAAGCCAGGGAAATATTAATTAACTTTAACTATTAACAGTCTAATTAGGAGATATGATTTTGAAAACTTTATAACAAACTACTTATACCTATAGTTAACTTCATTTGATTCAAGCGTCTCTTCTGATTAGATTTAATTTTAATATTTTAGTGACGCAGTCAGGATCCTGGGCTGTATCTGATGGAGAATCAGTTGTGGGAACTACTGATTAGGGTGATGGTGAGGAGTCCTTCCAACTAGAACTAGAAGCTCATCACCAATGATGAGGGGATGTAAAGAATCTGGACAGCTGTTAGGAGGCTTTGATTGATGTGATGTTAAATTTTATTATTTTATTTTTTTTAAAGAAGGGGTTTGATCTGTTTTGATATGCGTTTCTAAAATAAGATGTTAAAAATCCACATTAATAATTGTTCTAGATTTCATGTCCCTGTGTTATGAAGAAATCTGGGCTCAACTATCCATGTCACAAAAGCTGTGGGATTCCCACAGAGTTATTAGTCACTCTCAGGGAAAACAGAGGAGCACAAAGACTAAATCTCCACGTTAAAACAGGAAAAGCTAAATTTACAAGTCGAAATACTTGTGGCCAACATGAACTCGAACAAAACCGCAGAAATGTAAGAGAGGATAAATGGAAGATCTGTGACTCAGCTGGTGATAATATTTAGAGCGTGGTGCTGCTGATTATACCAGCAAGGCGGTGGCTGAGAGAACGCAGGATATGCTGCTGGATGAATCAACCTCCCCCCCCTGCACATGGCATCCGAGCCTGTGGAGAATGAGGAGCATGGGGATAATTTGTCGATGTTCTGACAAACCAAAACATGAATGGGCTTCTATGTAAACAAACGCTGCTGACCACATCTGAAATGAATCATCTGTCTTTTTAATGGTGAATGGAGCCTGCAGGGAGTTCCTCATGTAACGGCTATGTTCTGGATGGAACGGAGAACTTCTCTGGTGAAGAAAGACACTAATGTTTGGAGGGTACCATCAATCCTGGCAATTTTAGACAACGTAATAATAAAGGAGAGCTCTTTATCTTCAAGACCAGTAAACCCATAGTCCCAGTGGACAGAGCCATAAGATAACGGGTCTGCTGTGGTGCAAAGGGATGGAGATGTTTGCTCCGGATGGGTCCAAAGTAAATCACATGACAGCACCACTATTCTGGTCCAGGAGCCTCAGTTTCTTGTTCTAGCTGACAGCAGTACTGCCTCCTGTTCTTCTTTTGCTGTGCCGTTCTGCATCTGCATTTTTCTAGTTCTTTAATCTGTTGTATCCTTGTTATGATCTGGAACCAGTCGACCCATTCTCCTCTGACCTTAATAGGACATTTTCCTCCAATCAGCTGCTGCTCTCTGGATATTCTCTATTTTTCAGACCATTTTCTGTAAATATGAGAGATGGTTGGGGGTTTAAATAACTAGCTCATCAGCTCAGACTAGAGTCTGGTAGCAACAGCCAGACCATCTTTAATTCCGTCCGCAGTCGGATGGGTAATTTAAACATCGTCTTGAATCAATACATTTAACACACCCCAGACACCAATGCCAGAGAGAAGTAATTAACTACTCCTTCAGAGATAAAAGAAGAAATCCGTCTCTTCCTTCAGATCCCAGTTGTGTCTTTTAAGATTGCTGGACTTGTTTGTGGACAGCGCTAAGTTGGCTTGGCTCCAGAGTTTCCTTTTGATCAACTTCTATGACCGCTGCCACAAATCCATGCATACCATTACAGAGAGGGCTGCTGGATGCTGCCTTTCATGCAGCATAATCCCTGCCAATATGGAAAGAAGACGGAGCTCAATCAGCCCAGCAGACAGGTTGGGGTGCATCTGTCTGCCCCATGCACCCCATCCATTCTCCCACTTTAGCTCCATTGAAAGAATAGAAGAGGAAGCACTGAGTGGTTGGTGTCTGTGTGCAGGAATGGAGGTTCATAATCTCCCTTAATGAGCTTGTTTCTGAGCTATTATCCGGCGGCATGCCTGAGGGAAGAGCTGGTGTTTCCTATCAAGAGGCCCTGCAGTGTCGACCCTCACATGGCTCTGCATATGAAATGTGAGGGCCAAGCCCTTTGTCTCCTTTCTTCACGTCTCTAGCAGAGTCCATTTACATAGGCCTGAATGCTTACTGGTTACCAATGTTATTAATTAATACAGAACCAGCCTGCGCCACCTGACAGAATCCCACCGAGTGGCCCGAACGGAACTGTTTCATCAAAAGAGAGGAGCCATTAGGAAAGAGAGGCATTATTCTCTGCTCCTCCTGCTTGTTCCCTCAGAACAAAAAGCCAGGAGTTTTTCACTGCAGCAGCAGTGGATGGTACGTGCTTGAATGAGAAGGCACCAGGTGACCTGTTGTAACTGCTTTGCAACAGGTCCCCCCCCATGCATGATCTCCTCTTTCTGGTATGTCTTCACCTTCCTAACCCTAATCAGAGGATGTCTTCAGGTGCATTCTTACAAGATAAGCCTCGGATTTATGGCTGGGAATGTCGTGTAGAAACGGTTTGAATTCCCACAGATCTTCAAATGCACCAAACTGTAGAAGCACTCGTGTGCTCTTTTCCTCCATTTGCCTAGAGAAGAAGTGCTGAACCAGAGGGTCTCCACAGTGTCTCTCCTGGGTTCAGGAGGATCACAACCAAGCAGGCTCATAAAATATTTTCCAAAGCCTGATCAAAGCAATTAGGGACAAAGACGACGTTGTTCCTTGAAGCTTTCCAATGAAGAGCCGGATCTCAAAACTCATCATATATCTGCAGCCATTTCCACCGTAAACATCCTAACCTTCACACTGCTCTGCTAAACCTCAGAAGGTGAAGCCTGGAGATGATAAAAAATGTTAGCATGACAAGGCAGTGGTGTTTTCTGGCTCTACACGTGGATGACCATCACTCACTATATATATATATAACTATATCTGTTTTTGTAAATGTTTCTTTTGGTGTTTGATGCATGAGATGAAGAGATTGTCAGTCTTTGTTGTTAAAATTAGTGCCAAAGGCAAAACCCATTTGTTTTCTAACTTCTAAAGAGAAAGCACTTCACTTGGATTGGATCATTCCTAGAACAAAGATCCGACTTCCTAGACCAGTTGAAAGAGGGATAATGGTAGGATTTGCTAGAACTGGGCTCAAAAACAAAACTCCGTTTAGGGTCTTTGAACCAACTTTGGACCAACCGTGGAAAGTGGATGTGTCCTTCAACCACTATGAATAATTCTGGTTGAAGTTGGGATGTGCACATTAAAAAAGGAAAGAAAGAAAATTAAAAAACAATGACATTAAGTTGGAATGGATATGGTCACCTTTTGAAGCTCTCGCTCAGACAAACACCTGCTGCATATCTTCCTGTGTCTTACCTGTGGCACAAAGGGCGATGAAGGTCTGGACATGCTTTCGTATTAGTGCCAGCTTATCATCGGGGAGTGGCAGCCTCCTCACAATGTGCTCAATGAAGTCGTTTGGTGTTACGGCTGCCAAGTTCCACTTCAACTTCCCCAAAACAACCAGTTCCCATTCCTGTAGTGGGAGGGCAAAAACATCATAAACTATTTGCAGTGATTGAAAAAAAAAAGGTGACATAAAAATTGTTTTGGGTGTTTAGAAAGCTGCTGAAGATAAACATTTCTTCAGATTACTCTAAAATCTGCCCGGTGAAGTGGTAAACATGTAAAGGGTTAAATGCAGTTAGCTTTAGATCAGCTTCTGATTGGCTGGGGCTGGACAAGGGAGCCAAACCAGGTGACTGCACAGCACTGTCTGCATGTCGCCTGTCTGCTTGGCATCCTGGGACTTTCCTTTAGACTCATCAGAGGTTCCACTATGTGAGTGAGCAGTGGGACGGATGGGAACACTGCAGGATATTTGGTAACCAAAAGCTTTCTTTAATCTCTGAACAGAAAAAGTTTAAAAAGATGTTGCATAACTACCATCAGATTCTCTTCCTTTAAAAGAGATCTAGAAATCTCTGCTGCCTTATGATATCCAAAGTGTATGTGAGGTTCAGTCTTCTTCAAAAACATTGTTAATTTCACTTCCTGAAGGAGGAGGTGACTAATGTAATGGAGGATTGTGACTAATCTTAGGGACGGGGGGGGGGATCTTGGTTTTCTCTGCAGCACCGCAGCCATGTGACTTTAGATGTTTTTTAAACCACATGGACTTAGTCATGAGAGAATCAATATGGCTGAGGATGAACTTTAAGTGGGCCTTCATTCCTCTCGTTTGGGTCACCGTCTTTAGACTTTCCTTCTGGGATTTTTAAACTGATGAAATAAGTTTGTTTTCACCTTCAACAATGCACACACAAAATAAAATCTTTCTAACGTCAAAGTTAGCACATTCATAAATCAGGATTATTGCACCTCTGCTGCCTCCTGATCACAAACATCCATCCATATCTAAATCTGCATTAAACAGGGAAAGCCTCAAAGAACACTTGCAACAGATAGTCTATGCAAGCAGGCACCCACTTCCTTCTGCTTCTGCCTTCCTCTGGTCACACCTTCTTTGCAAGATTCTGGTTCATTTACAAGAAATAGTTACTAAAGATGAGCACCAAAATGATCACATGCCCCGAGCAGCTGATCTCTTGCTTCCTGTACGTGCATGTGAGCCAAACTGCTGCCTTATACAGAAACAGAGAGTGGAGGCCCCGGCAAACCAGTTCAAGGACTGAGGGCTGCCTCCAGTTTAAACATAAAACATGGGCAGATTTCTGTGCTGCTTTGGAGAAGAATAAATCTAAATTTTAATACACATTTGAATGCTCCCAAAGGAAAATATGAAACCAAGACACAAAAAAGGATTAAATGCGACACTATAAACCATTTTAGAATATTATTAGAAACTAAAGAGACTACAGTGATCGACTCAGAGAGCAGGCAGCGCAGCAGGCCCCCACAAGTCTCCTCTTTCACAACATGGGTGGGATTGGCTGGTCTACCCAAGAATGTTTATGTGGCACCACAGAGCAAAGGAATCATGAGGAAACACTTGTCATTTATGAAAATGAGCTAATTAATTAGTTTGTCTCTACAGGCAGATATTTAAGCTAATGTCTCTCCTCCAACAAGCTGGAACCATAAACTTTAAATCCATCTTCTTGCCTGCATCCCAAACCTTGCTTTAAACATATCTATAAAACAGGACATAAAATGATGCATCTATGGTTGTTCTGGGAGGAGAGTTAAACTGCAAAAGGCATTTCATTTTGTGTGTGAGTGTGTCCCTCTGGCTGTCAGGAGCACAGTCACAACTTAAAAGTGCAGTTCAGGCGACCTCATTGATCTGTGTGAATATCTGCCACCAGATGGCGATAGAGACCGTCTTACAGACTGTCCTGGTGCGTACAGTAGACAGCCTGTAGGGTCTTTTTACAGTAGAAGTTACCCTTGTGGAACAATTCTCTGTGGCACATTGGTCTTTGATGCGCCTCAGTTGAAGAAGCAGAGGAGCTTCAGCAGAGAGGAGTGCAAACTGGGTGAAACCAGGATGCTGCTGATACTTTATCAAACTACATTTTAATTCAATAAAATGAATAAAATGAAGGCCAACTCTAGAAGAAATTATACAATTTAAAAACCTTTTTTAAATGTTTTGTGTGTGTGTGTTAGGGCAGTTGATTGTCATGTGAACAAAGTGAAATTAGTTGAACCAACTGGTGCTTACCAGCAGCTCTTGTGGTCTAATGGAGTTATCTGTGTAGATGCAAAGCTTCTCTGCAGTTAATGGACGAGTCTCTTTCAGTTTGGAAGCAAGAAACATGCAAACTGCCCCCAGCAGCTGCAGGTTGCACTTTTTGATTGGTACCATTGCTAAAAATCGGTCCAAGTAGTTCATGGCCAAAGGAAAAACTTCTTCCTCGCACTTCTGCTCTTCGCAGACCTGAATAAAGAGACAGCAGAACATGCAGCATTTTTCAGTCACATCACTTCTTTTCAAATGTAATCCTGCTGCATAGAAAACCTTTATGTTGAATCGAAATAAAAAATATTAATTACATAAAGAGTGATTTTAGTGACACACATAGTTGGGGTCCGGCCAAGAATTTGGCCCAACCCAAACCAGTTGCGACACCATGCATTAATTCCGAATCAATTTCTTTACAAAGAACCAAAATAAGTGTCGGATCCATATTGTCAACAGAACCACATTCCTGCAATTCATTCACCAAGAAATGAATTCAAGTCGCAATGAGCCAAGCCAAGCTTAAAAAAAAAAAAAAAAAAAAAAAAAAAAAAAAAAAAAACTCCGACAGCAGCACACGGAAACTGCCTTTTTCCTCCGTCGTCATATTTTCATAAAATATTTAAAAATATAAATAAATTATCTACACTCTTTTTCTTAACGTGATAATCTTCTCTGAGGACTTCCACATCATATCCGACCGTTCTCATCCGGATCCATCCACGATAAATAGGATAAAAATGTCAAAATAAGAAGCGAGTTGCGACTGGTCGCTCCGAAGTGCGTCACCTATCAGCCGATAAAATTATTTCAAAAATTAATAAAAAATCTCCAGTAAGTCGCACCCTAACAAATTTGACATGAAAATAAAGCTTAAAGTGTCCCCTTTGTTTCCATGTAAACATTAATCAAATAAATTGAGCCATTTTCTAAAAATCGAACCTAATTCCAGAGAAAGCGCCAGAGAGCAGCTAAGGCCCTCGCCCCTTCCGACATTTTAAACAGATACCATTAATATTTGCATCGTTTCATAGGCTATTTTTTGTGTTAAGCGGACACCTGAGCTTCTTTTCTAACATAACCTAACCTTCCCGGGTGCTGTTATTGCGTGCATGATTTTGTAAACCATCTTAAAAAGCAACAAGTGCTTCTGTGAAAAGCAATATGGCGATAACAGCGCAAGGCAGCGTTGCATGGAGGAGTGCATACGTGTGCATGGAAACATTCATGTCAGCTAAAATAACACAAATATCAAAGGAATCATCCAGATCCCCATGCAAACAGCCACAGAAAGAAAATCTGGGCTCCCCTCCGGTACCAGAACCCAGTTTCAAACAAGGGAGTCCGGATGATCGGACTTTAAAAAGAAAAGCGTGCAGGGATCGACATATTAGGTCAATATCAGGCACCGACTGTCTGAAAAAAACAAAAACGATCAATGTGTCAAAGCGGCAGCTCAGAAATGACAAACATTAGATTTGAAGCAACATCAACGAGAGGTTTTAGAGTCGAGCACGGAAATAAGAGTTGTGAGCACAGAGCTGCGTCCGTACCTCCAACATCCAAGTAGCGACCATCCTCCTCATAAAGGGCTGAATGTCTTTCTGGACGCATTTAAAATAAGAATACTGGGGCAAAAATCTCTCCTCGATAGTCAACAATCTCTGCAGAACTCTGTCATCGCGCAGGAGGTTCGGATCGGGACGAGCTCTTATGTTGGTGTCCATTTCGAGGCAGAGCAGCTCCATGGTGTTGGGGGCGGAAGGGGGAACTTTCAACTTAAGTTATTAAAATAAAAAGCAGAATCTGTCCTCCGGACGCGTAAAAAAGCTGATTTCAAGCGCAGGGACGCTTAACAAGTAGCAGAGAAAGTCTTTTAGAGGCATAAAATGAGAGACTACAGGGGCTCCGTGAGTCGTCCTGCCTCTCCTTGCTACGAACTTTTTCCTCTCTCTCCACAGTGCGCCTCTATCTAATCCAGTGAGCGCATTTGAAGCCTGCCCTGCGTGCGCCACTGACGCAATTCGCTTCATTAGGTCTGCATAAACCAGATGCACGGCTGTTCTGCTGTCCCCTTTTCTTTCTGTCCTGCATGCTGAGGCGAATCTGCACAACTTGGAGGATTTTACTTAAATGCACAGAACTTAATCCTCATTTCCAGATTGCATTTGTTCTTAATTAAATTGATATATTTTTGTTATTTAAGATATAAAAATAACTTAAACATAAGAAACACAGAGATTAGATGTCTGCACCAGGTTCAGACAATTTATTATACACAAAGGCTCACACATTTTTTCTTTTATCTCCAATTCATCTTTGTTACAGTATTATAACTGAGCTTTAGTTTGCATGTGAACAAGAAGTGAGTATTTGATTTGTAATTTTAACTGCGTGTTGCATGGATGTTCTCAGGGAACTTGATGCATTCAGCACCTTTCTGCATGCAGAAGTAGCTCAATGCGTGTAAACATATTAAGATGCATGCAACAGCGCGCGGAGAGGACACAACCACCCATCCACCCACAGTGACATACACACACATACATGGACACATGGTCTTACGTGTTACTTTTTTTATAGAAGCCACGAAACAACTTGTGGTTTATGAGATAGCTTTCTAGGAAATTTAAGCGTTGAAGTTTTTCTTTCTTTTTTCTGCATTATCTCCTGCAGATAACAGCAATATATCACTCGTTTGCTTTGCCTCAATTAAAAACCAGTCCTTGCTCTAAATCATACTATTATTCAGGAGATTGGGTGTTATTTGCATTGAGAACAAGCTGGTGGAAACCAGGCAAAGGGCAAACAATTAAAAAAAAGAAGAAAAAAAAATGCAGGAATGATTTAGCAGCACGCACAATCAGAAAGGGAATCTGCATGTGTAAATATGTTAATCCCCGTCCCATTCTTAGTCGACTTCAAAGAGAGAGTCTTGAATGAAACAAGACATCAGCGCATGAGGGGAAGACAGAGGGCTGTTAAGTCCTCGGAGCTTTGGAGCTGTTAATTTCCATCCCAAACTTGGTGCTTATATGGGGATGCATATGAGAAAAGTGGGGGAAATGTCTCTTTAAAGTTTTTTCTTCCCAGTCTAAGTTTTTTTTTTCTTCCTCCCAGCTCTATTTGCATAGCCAATAGCTCTACAGCTCTTAGACGACGCTGTGCGATTGTTACTGGGCAGACTTCTCCTTTTCCTCCCTCTCTTTCCTCCCTCTCTCCGTCCTGGTCATTAGTCAATCATGCCCCCAAGCCCACCTGACCCCCGCCTCTCTGACTGAACTGATTGGCTTAATGAAGGAGGGGACTTTTGGACTAGCAGTCGGGACTTCAAACATGGAACCAAATCTTTCACGTCCAGTTATTATAAAACCATGACTTATAAAGGAGCAAAGAGTTTACATTTAGATTTGCGACTTTACTTTTTGACTAATCAGACTATATTTCTCTTTACAACAAAACTTTCCAGGATCAGAAAACACAGTTCGAAATGTATTTCAACAGTAGTTTTTTTAAGGAGAAAAAAAAAAAGCGGTGAAATTACATTTTTATTGCAGAAGCAGATCAGACGCGTTTTAAACAATCTGCGCTCCCCACCTCTCCAAGATGCGCAATTACGCACCCTTAATGCGCACCTCCAGCTTTCCCTACCAGGAAAAGTTGTTTGTAGTTTGCTAACAATGAATAAATAAACATGAAACCTAAAAATCAACCATTAACCATAAATTTTTTTTTCATTTAACAGAGGAGAAAAACACTTAATAAAAATAACAAAAACAAAAGACACATCTGTAGAAAAATAAACCAATAATATTCTACATCCACAAACAGAAAAAATAAATAAATTTTAATTAGACAAACACGACTCAATAGCCCAAATTAAGCATCAATAAGCTTCATATCACCGCATCCAAGCCTGGCTTCATGCTTTTTATCTGGCAGTCAGAACAGAAGCAAATGCGCGTTCATGTGCCCGGAAGTCTTCAATGATCACATCCGAATAAAAATCGGAACACATGCCTTTTAGAAACCAGACCGAGTCAAGTAATTACTCAGCCCCTGATAGACTGGGACAGAACCGATCAGCAGAAACAAAGTTTGAAAGTTTGGCTGAAAGCTGGAGGTTCTGCTGCAAGACACATCTTCTGGTCTGAATCACAACTTTAGATATAAAACAGAAAAAAACACGAATCATTTATACATCATTAGTAATACTTTTACTATAAGTTTGATCAATATAATAAGTTTATATTGATCAAACCGGATACATCTATTTTTTAAAGATTTTTAAAAAATAAATAATTGAGTGAAAAGCAGTTAAATCCTCTCTGCATTGGTGGATGTTTCAGGGTTTGATCTAAAAAAAAGAGATTTTAAGACGGGTCTAAGAAACAGGAACATCTGGTCACTTTTTTTTTTATTTTTACTAGTGACTCATCAGCATGCGTCCCGCACCTTTCACGGTTTAAATCAGCAGCTCAGCAGCCAATCAGCAGGCGGCTCATGCGTAAGACCCGTCTTACCGACACCAAGAGGGGGACCAGAAACGCGTCGGAGGGGAATTTGGCGCAGCAAGAGCTGAGAAATGTCAGCAGCTCATGTGTTACAGGTTCTGGATATAAAAGCCACCGAGAGACGAATTTAAAAGCCCCGTTTTTTTTTAAAGAGTCATACTGTTAAGTCATTTTTCCTTACATTTATTTATTATTCAAAACAAATTGAAACACATTTTTCTAAAATCTTGATATTTACAAATAGCTTCAATTTATGCAATTTAATACAATTATTGCTCAAAGCAGATTGTAGAAACCCAGACAGAAATTAATAACGAATTTATAAAAAAAAAAAAAAAAAAAAAAAAAAAAATAGAATAAAAAATCTTATGTGTATTTGGAAAAAAAAACTACTAATGAGGAAGAAGAGGAGAACGTTTACATTTAAAACAACTTGTCTGGTTTTTCTTTAGAAACTAGGAAAATATAAATTGTTCTGAAAGAGCCTAAAAAATCTGGATGAGCTTGTTTTAGAAGGTAAAATCTTGTGAGAATCCTTCCTAAAGACAACAATCCTGCATCAAGAAGCAGCAGAGGAAACATTTCATTTCAGCCCCCCTCCCTCCAACAAAAATCTTAAAAGCAAATAAATAATCTGATCATTTTCTTCTTTATTCTATGCTTCTTATTATAAAATTAAAGAGATAAATCACAGAAATCAAATTAAAATAATTTATAAGAATAATATTAATAGGAATAATTTTTATTTACCTATTGATAGAGTTCAATTTTCTATAAGCATTAATTTCATATCTTTGATTTGAAGGTTTACATTATTACATTTTTTGCCAGAACTATTTTGTATAATTATTTGTGATAAACCAGGTAATAGTAGGCTAAAATGCCTTATTAACATTAGATTAAAATGTATTAAAATAACAACGTCAAATAATCCAACACATTTTTCTATAATAATAATTTTTTTTTTTAGATAAACCAATTTAAAAGTTGTGTTTCAGTTGCATACTGTTAACATGCTTAATTAATTAACCAATACAAACAAGTAACAGAAGTAAAAAACCTTTGCAAATTTTTAATTTGTAAGAATAAAAGATGATATTTGTGTTTAAAACATGGCTTTTATTTATAGAAATTCTTTAAAAACCTTAGACGTTCTTGTTGTACTAAACAACATCGAGAAAATGTTTATCAGAATAATCCAACTTTAATAGAGATGAGCCGGCTGTTAGCTATCCACTGGTTTCTCTATGTCGCAACTAAAAGGAGAAATTATGCAAAAATAATTAAAGGAAGAAAACTCACTGTTTGAAATGAAATTATACAAACAATTTAAATTAAGGAAGAACTTTAGAAAAAAACGTTCAAATCAATGTTTTTTGTTAGATTCTCACAAAAACAATATTAATTCACCATTTGGAACCATTTGTTTATAATGTCCACATTTCCTCATTTTCGCTGTTTTTCTCTGTGGTTGAATAGCTGCAGATGTGTGTGTCTCTCTGTGTGTGAGTGTCAAACAAAAATAATGCACAGAAAAGTTACTCATCCATGATCAGAAAACACCAGCCTTCATGCAAAGTTTTACTGGAAAATCTTTGTCCAGGTGGGCAGTGTTGTGCCATCACAAACAGGAGCCAGGAGATGGTAAAATGAAAACAATTTCTGATTCTGAAAAAGCCAACAAATACATTTGTGTGTAGATATACAAGCAGAAAGACCACTTCAGTTCCCAGGAAGTTCAACGTTTCCATCCGACCCATACAGTCTGAAGTGGAGAACGGCTCCGCCCCCTACTGAAAAACATCACTCAGGATTTTTCTCTTCTTCCTTTCACCTCATACATTCATTCAGTCTGACGCTGCTTGGTTCAAACATCTCCAACAAGGCTGCTGTCTCCATCATCCACCTGCAGGAATCTCATGAAATTCTCCTCCAATTTTGACCCAAGTTCCAACCGTGCATCTTTGGCAACGACTGCTTTCCTCCATTTACTCAATCAGAAATTCTTAATGCAAACATCTCCTCCCTTCTTGATTCCTTTATGTCATTGGCTGAAAGACGGATGGCAAGGTGTTGAAAAGACCCAGAGCAAAGACATCTAGGGAGACAACCTTGACTTGGATGAGATTCAGTTCCTCCTCACTAGCTGCTCAAAGTTCTCTGGAGACACTAAATGTCTATGCAGAAATGTATTTGGGAGGATCCATTCTAGATGTCTGCATCTCCTTCAGCTTCTTCTTAATGGAACAGAGAAAACATCCTTTAGCTGTCCATCATCAGCATCCATTGAACAAATGACTTAATGGGTTTTGTACATAAGCAAAGTGATAGTATCAATCTGCTGGCCTTTAAATATGAAAACAGAATATTTGATCAGAGAGCCTCTGTTTATCCGATTTCAGACATTTAAAAGTTCAAAGGGGCTTTAATGATGGAGCCTGGAAGCTGGATTCCTGTGAAACCTGGTGCTGATCATCTGAATC